ATATTTCTGAAAAGGGTATTTTTAGTGAAGATAATTTAAGTTGAATTTGATTTTCAATTAATATAGGCTTTAAGGAGATGTGCATGCACCACCTCATTTCATTGTAACGACTCTGTAAAATAGGTCAAGTTTCACCTATGACCAGTGAGCATTTGACTGAATGAATGGAAAAGAAAGATGGAAGTGTGAGAAGGAGGTAGAGGGGGAGGCTCACTTCCCTCATATCTGAAAACATTGAGGAGAGACCAACTTCTCAGTCTTGTCACTTCTAAGACACACAATTCTCAGAGAGCACAAGTGGCATTTCCCAAGTTCAAATTTAACACCAGAAGACTGGGTGGGAGTAGATTCAGAGCCACCACATTAAAGAGGTTGATTTGCAAGGCTGAACAAACTCCAGGGTCTTAGCCTGGAGGATGAGGGCCTGTGGCAGATAAGGCTTAACCCTCAGAGGCAAGCTCTGAACCTGGAAGGGAAGCTATGGGAGGCTCTGTTCTCAAGATGATGTGCTTAGGACATTTATTCCAATAAGGTATGAGGCTCAGTCACTCACTGGAGGAGAGGCCTTCCTCAGACTGAGACCAGGGCTGGAAGGAAGAGCTCCAGGAGACTGAACAAAAAGATATAACATGGGCTAGATGGTCACTCAAGATGGTACCAAGCACGTGGAAGGAGGCTGGGACCCAGGAAGCGAGGGACCCAGGGATCCCCATGCAACAGGCTGGACCAGCCAAGAGGAGATCTCATAGCCTTTGCTTTGCAGGTCACAAATTTATTCATCTTGGCTTTAGTGATTTTCCTTTGGAATTCAGAGACACTTAATGTTGTTTTAAGCCTCAGCCAGTCTTACAGTACAGAAAGGCTGTGTCCTCTCTTAAGCCCAAGCATTAAGCTTCCCTGGTAATAGAGCCAACAGTTGGAACTGCAGTGTTTGACTAACTATGCAGGGTGGGGTGAGTCTCTAGGGTAACGGGTTGGGCTTGTTTTGGGAAGGCAGAGACTCAGCTTATTCCTCTCGGTTCTCTCCTTCTCCCCAGCAAATTGCCCAGGAAGTCTCTGAGCAGCATCTGTCCCAGGGGAGACTGTACCCACCACTGAGCACCATCCGAGACGTGTCTTTGAGAATTGCCATCAAAGTAAGGGGCATCCTACCCCTGTAATATGGGTAGTGAGGCTCAAACACTTTCTCTGTCTGTGACTTTAGGAGGGTTAAGGGGATGGAAACTGTGGAGACATTGGATCTTCTTGAGCTGCACTACATGTAACCCAGAGGCTGGGTGACAAACTCTTCTTTGCAGCTTGAGCTCCACCCCAAACACCCACCCAGACCAGTTCTGGGAAAGCTCCTGGATTTCCCCTAATACACCAAGCAGAAAGGTCATCAAAGTCCATGGACCAGAATATGGGAATATTTTAGAAATGACTCATAAGCACCCATTTATAAGAAAGGTCAGCTTGCATAGCATCATGGAAGAAGCTCAGACTTTGGGGTCCCAGCTCTGCCAATCAGCAACAGTATAACATTGGCCCAATCACTTCACTTCCCTGAGCCTCAGTTTCCTCCTGCTTCAAAGGGCCAGTAGTTCCTCTCCCAGAATTCTGGAGATTAGCAGAGAATAGTGAAAAAGCTCCATACCCAGTGCTCTCTCAGCCAGGGTAAATCTCTTTCTTCCCCTTTTTCTCAGAATGGCTGGCTATGGGGTGATCAGTTTCATGGAATATTCCAAACTATAAAACTGTGCAGAGATGATGGATTTTCAAAGAATCAGAACATGGTGCAATAAAGACTGGCCCAACATTGATAACTGTTAAAGCTGGATAATGAGGGTTCATCATACTATTATTTATAGATATATATATAGATACATGAGGGTTTATCATACTATTATTTCTATTAGTGTGCATGTTTAACATTTTCTGTAAGTTTAAAAATAATTTCAGAAAATGCATTGTACAACAGCACACACTACTCACGAGTTGTCAGAATTCAGAATCAAGCCTCAAGATTAACAGTCCAGCTCAGGGTCCAGCTTCATCCTGTCAGTTTCTTCCTTTGGGCGATATTTAGATTCACATTCTCCTGAAGCCAAATCTAATACCCAGAGAACAGTGTCCAGGCCGTTCATCCAATTTAACCCATATTCTAGTGGAAAAAAAATCAGGTTCTGGACACATTTTCCTGTTGTCTAATTTTATCAACACTGCTCCAGAGAAAAGTCTCTTTACTCCCATTTTACAGATGAGGAAACTGAGGCTCAGCAAGGATAATATCACCTCTGAGGACCCACAGGCCTTTGGAAGCAGGCAGAATTTATGCTGAAGCCTCTTGATCCTGGCTCAGTATTTATTCCACTATGTTGAAGCTGCCTGTTCAGAAAGAAAGCTTAAAATCCTTCCTATCCAGTGAGCTATACTCATGAAAGGAACAAATCTGGTTCCTTAAGGTGTATTCCCCTCCCTCATGACCCCAAGCAAGGATCCTTACGCAGGTTTCCCCTTAGATCCGGTTCCTTAGCCAAACATGTTTTTCTCTAGGTTCTCGACTACGCGTACAAACACAACCTGGCTTCCTACTACCCGGAGCCTAAGGACAAGGAGGCTTTTGTAAGATCCCTGGTCTACACTCCAGACTATGACTCCTTTACACTGGACAGCTATACTTGGCCCAAGGAAGCCATGAATGTTCAGACGGTCTGATGCAGTCTCAGAGCCTGGTATGGGGCTAGATGAAGCCCAGAGTAACACCCACAATATAAATGGGTTCCAAAATGGCCCAAGTGAATCCTTGTCGCTGTGTTTTTTCTTTTAAACTTTCTGGTATGAGAGGAGATGCCAAGGCATACAGTGAATAAAAGCCTTGTCTCTGAAGGCCCTGGGAGTTCACTTTCCTGAACCCTCCTCTGAGTTCCTTCCTAAGCATTTCTTCATCCATTAATCACCAACTATTGGCCAGGCCTTGCGGGAAATGCAGAATCTCACCTAGAATCCTGCCTTTACAGAGCTCTGGCTCTAGTGGAGGAAACTGGACACAATTCATTTTGCCATAAGGGAGAAAGTGGTAAGTTCATGAAAGAAGAGCAGATAAAAACTGAGGGCAGTCAGAAAAGGGAGAGGATGCTTCCTATGGAAATGTAAGAGAAGGCTTCAGGGACAGCAGTATTTGCACTGAGTCCCAAGAGGAAAAGATGGGTGGGAGTCATGGGGAGATGAATAATGTGAGCATAGCCACTAGCCAGAAAGCACAGTCCACCCATCAGGGAGTTTAGTCCATGTCAGCAACACACGCCCTTCAAGACTCGGCAGTGCGTGAAATTAAGAGTGGCTAGGGGCAGCTCGCTAACTATTCAGGTCACTGCCCTTAGGTTGTTGAGTCTTAGACATTCTTTTTTCTAAAAGGAAAACCAGAGAAATGTGGGTGGGGATGGTCAGCCTGCCAAGGAGTGAGGAGGAAGAGAGGCAGTGAGAGGAAGAGCACCACAGGGAGTTCTAGGGAAGACTTCATTTCATTTTCCTGGCTCTGGAACACACTCTGGCTTCCATCCTTCACTCTCTGAAGTAGTTGAGCAATCCAAAGCAGTTTTCTTAGTGAGTAATATCAGTCCATCCTGGGTGTTTCTTAGACCAAGTTCAGTGCTAGCCTTCATCTCTCTCATATTCAGCAGAGCCCATATCATAGGGGTGGGGGCGGGAGAGAGCTTGCAGCCCCCTGAAATTAGATACTACTAAGATGTTAAGACGTGTTGAGATGGCAGCTTCCAGCCTCTAATTTCATTGTATAATAAAGGAATCAATAAATCATGCTTAGGGCCCTACTCCTGCTGCCACCTCAGCCTCAGGATCTCCACTGCCAGCAACGAATAGGTCCTATATGACCAACTCTCAAGGACAGACTAGATGGACTATTAGACTTATAGAGGAGTAATTAGCAGAGATACCACTCACCTCTTGCTCAGGTCTTATTCTTCCAAGAACTACTTCCTCGGTGCTGATGTTTCCTCGGTGCTGATGAAGAATATCCTGAGAAAACCTCCCTCCTCTACGATCCTTGGGATCATGGAGAATGAAAAACTATTCAGAAGAGAGTTTGAAGAGCGAAGCTGGAATCTGAACACCATGGAATTTTTGACACTATCTTTTTACATCATGTCCCACAACTTCTTCTGTACCTCTGCTACATATCCTTTATAATCAATATAGTAGAAGAGAAAAGCAATAGTAGAGAAAATCAATGAAAGCAAAATAGGTTTTTTGAAATGATTAAATAAACAAACTTCCGCTATACTAAACAAGACAAAAAGAAAGAAAATACAAATTACACTTCCTTTGTTCCAGCCACACTGACCATCTTGCCAGCACTAAGCACATGTGCTTTCAAGCCTGTGCTGATATTATCCATGCTTGGTCTCTCCTTCTGGGAAGTCCTTCCCTCCCCTTTTTTCTCTTTACCGATTAAATTTTAGTTCACTCTAACTTTCTTCCTGGAAACAGCATTCACCCTTACAATTCAAATGCAATTGGCTCTATAGAGTAACAGAATCAATAACTAAATTAGAAATCAATAAACAGAAAACTATGGGAAATTCCAAAATACTGGAAAACAGTACATTTCAAAATAACCCACAGATCAAAGAAGAAATCACAAGCCAAGTTATTTATGTTGAACTGAATTTTTTAAATCATATGAAAATAAATAAGATATAGCTAAAGTAGTATTTAGAAAGAAACTTTATAGCTTTAAAGGTTGTCATGGTTAATTTTACGGCACCACAGGGTGCCCACATATTTGATCAAATGTTATTCTGGGTGTTTCTGTGAGGGTATCTTTGGATGAGATTAACATTTAAATCATTAAACTAAGTAAAGTAGATTGCCCTCCATTAATTGCCCTCATCCAATTAGTTGAAGGCCTGAATAGAAAAAATGGATTGACCCTCCCTTGAGTAAGACAGACTTACTCCTACCTGATGCCCTTCTAACTGGGATATTGGCTTTTTCCTGCATTTAGACAGGAACTATACCATCATCTCTCCTAGGTCTCCAGCTTGCTGACTCACCCTGTAGATCTTAGAATTTGACAGCTTCCATAATCATGTGAGCCAAGCCAATTCCTTATAATAAATCAACACAGAGAGAGAGAAAGATCCTATTGATGCTGTTTCTCTGGATTACCCTGACTAATGCAAATTCCTACATCAGAAGAGAAAGAAAGAGAGAAAGGAAAGAACAAAAAGTCTCAAGTGAATAATTTAAACTTCCTCCTTAAGAAACTGGGGGTGGGGGACAGCAAACAAAATTCAAAGCAAGTAAAGATTAGAGCACAAATCAATATATCTATAATAAGTAACAAAATTAGTAATTAAAAAATCTTTCCCCCAAGAAAAGCCGTGTCCAGATGGCTTCATTTGCTGGAATTTATCAAATACTTAAGTAATAACACCAATTATTCAGAAACTCTTTCAGAAAATAGGGGAGGGAACACTTCCCAAATCATTCTATGATACTCGTATTGCCATATCAAAGCCAGATAAAGGTAGCACAAGAAAAGTACAGGCCAATATCCTTCATGAATATAGATGCAAAAATCCTAAACAAAATATTAGTAAACCAAATTCAGCAACATGAAATTTAAAAATTACATACAACAAACAAGTGGGCTTTATCCTCAGAAATATAGTTTTTTAACATTCAAAAATTGTTCAGTATGGTTGTTCAATAATATTAATAGAATGAAAGACAAAAAATCATACAATCATGCCAATAGATATGAAGAAAGCATTTGAAAAACATCAACGCCTGTTTATGAAAAAACTCTAAACAAAGTAGAAATAGAAAAGAACATCCTCAATTTAACAAAGGACATCTATAAAGAGCCAAAGATAATATTTAATGGTAAAAGAATGAACACTTTCTTCCTAAGATCTGGAACAAGGCAAGGATGTTGTTTTTACCACTTCTAGTCAACACAGAGGGTGTTTAGCCAGTGCAACGAAGCAAGAAAGAGAAGCTAAAGGTGTCAAGACTGGAAACATAGTTAATACTGCCTTGATTCACAGAGGACCTAATCCTGCATGTAAAAAATGCTAAAGAACACATACACATTCATTCATTCATTCATTCTCTCTCTCCTGTCTCTCTCTCTCTCTCTCTCTGTTTACTGGAACTAATAAATTAGTTTTGAAAAGTCACCAAACACAAGGTCAACATACAAAAACCAGTTGTATTTCTGTATGCTGGCAGCAAATGATCTAAAAATAAAATTAAGAAAACAATTTCATTTACAACTGCATCAAAAAGAAAAGATACTTAGGAATAAATTTTAAAAGTGCAAGTATAGTATACCGAACACTACAAAACATTGCTGATAGAAATTAAAGGTCTAAATAAATTGAGAGAGATTCTTTGTTCATGGATTCGAAGACTCAATATTGTCAAAATTGCAATTCTCTTCATATTGATCTATAAAGTCAACACTATACCTATCAAAACCCTTGTAGGCTTTTTTGGTGGAAACTTACAGGCTGATTCTAAAATGTATATGGAAATGTAAAGGATCTCAAGGAGTCAAAAAAAAGTATAACGAAGAACAAAATGCCCTATTCAATGTCAAGAACCTTCCATAAAGATACAATGATCAAGACTGTGTGGTCCAATAGCAGAGCCGTGAAATCAATATAAGTTTCCATCAGTCTATGGTTGGATAAAGAAAATGGAGAAGAAAATGAATATATATGTACAATGGAATACTATTCAGCCATAAAAAAGGAATAAAATCATGTGTTTTGCAGCAACATAAATAGAACTGGAGGCCCTTACGTGAAACAATTCAGAAACAGAAAGTGAAATGCCATATGTTCTCATAACTGGGAACTAAATAACGCATACACAGGAACAAAGAATGTGGAATCTCACTGGAGACCTGGAAGGGTGGGAGGGTGGAAGAGGAGCGAGGCATAAGAATTTACTTAATGGGTACAATGTGCACTATTTGAGTAATGATTACACTAAAAGCCCATACTTCACCACTATGCAATATATGCATGTAACAAAACTGCACTTGTACACCTTAAATTTATACCAAAAAAAGACTGCGTGGTCATATAAATAAATGAAGCAGAACTGAGAGTTCACAAATAAGTTTTTACATTTATGGTAAATTGGCTTTTAATCAGAATTACTAAGGTAATTCATTGGGGGAAAGATAGTCTTTTGAACAAATTGTGCTGAAACAATTGAATAGCCACATGCAAAATAAAGTTAACTTAGCCACCTCACACTAAACACAAAAATTAACCTTTACACATCTCAAAACAAACAAAAACTAACCTGAAATGGATCACAGACCTAAATGTGAGAGCTAAAACTGTAAAATTTCTAGGAGAAAATATAGCAAAAAATCTTTATGACTTAGGTTGAGGAGAGTTCTGAGATACAACTTTAAAAGCATGATTCATGAAAGAAATAAATTGTGTTTCATCAAAATTTAAAATTTTGCACTTTGAAACACTTTTTTGGGGAGGAAAAAAGACAAGCAGCAGACTGGGAGAAAATAATTGCAAATCATATATCTGATAAAGACATTGGATCCAGAATATATAAGAAGTACTTCAACTTAATAAGAAGATGACAATTCAAATTTTAAAATGAGGAAAATATTAAAATCAGCATTTTATCCAAAAAGATAGGTGAATGGCTAACAAGCACATGAAAAAACGCTTAACATTATTAGTAATATGAAAATTAAAACCAAATGGTATAACTACGCTCACCAAAATGGCTATAATAAAAAAGAGATGTGTTGGTAAGAATGTGGAGAACTTTGTCTCCTAAGCACTATTAGATTGAGGGGGAGTTCCTTTGTCTTTTAAGTCTTCACTCTAACTCCCCAGCCTCCCATACATAGCCCCAGTATTCAGCAAGTATCATTTAAGAGAGTGGATGCTGTGGTTGCACCACCTAGATCCTGCGTTGGGTCTGAAACACTCATTCCTCCAGATGCCATTATCAGCTGAGGGCCCACAGCTGCATTGCTCTCTATGCATTGCCCTCAACAGAAGGTGAAGGCTTCACCCAAGATTATGCCGTCATCCCCAAGGGAAGCCTACAGGCAATGACTGGTTGATTCAAGGGCCCAAAGGCCCAGCTTCCTAGCCTCAATTGAGAACACCTCTAAATAGCCATCCCATCCTCAGAGCTCCCTATGAGATTGCCTGAGGCTACTGTTGCAACTGCTATGTATCACCATTCAACTTCTTATGCCCTATCCTATTTCTCTTGCTCCCCCATAGGTGTGGTTCCCTGAGAAGACACCCTAGTAATCCTTTGGATGCCAATCTCAGATTCAGTGTCTGTTTCCTGGGGAACCCAACTTATAACAGGTAGAGGAAACAGGCCAAAGTTCTTAATTTTCCTATTTGTTGCACCAGCCCCACGTGACCACCAAAAGCTTTTCTGGGTTTCCCTTTCCCTCAGAACAGACCCTCTTCATGGACCAAGCTTGATCCTTATTAGTCCATGTCCAGAATCAGTAAATGTCCCTAGAAAATAAAATGGTCACTTACCTCAGGAGGCCTCCTCCCTCTCTGGAATTCCCATTCACCTAGTCCTTATTGCTTTCATAGCTCTCACATATCTTTAAATATGATCTTTATAATTTTTCCATCTTTTTCTAGTTGTTGCAGGAAAAGTTTTAGGCTGCCATGACGTGGAAGGCTCTAGAGAGATTTTCAAAATTACAGATGTGTGGATATTAACTTCTTTCCTAATTTAATTGAATTGTGGTGATAAAAGGTGTTCTGTATTTTTCAAATAGCTTAAAATGTGCTGAAATGGGTTTATAGTCAAATATATGGTCAAATGTAATAGTTCATGTACTCTTATAAATACGTAGTCTCCCACTGTTGGATGCAATGCCCTTTGTATGTTCATGGGATTGAGTTTGTTGACTGTTTTGTGTAGATCTATATCCAGAATCTTGATTTTGTGTACTTGATCTGCTTCTGAAAGAGGGACAATAAAATTTCCCACTGCTATAGTAAACTTGTCAATTTTCCTTGTAATTCTGTCCATATTTGCTCTATTTACCTTGGACCAACGCATATTTACCTTTTAAAATACATTTACTAAATTAAAAGTCCTAGTTCATATGTTCTGCACAAGATCAAAACAACATTTTACTAGAAATATTTCATAGTCTCCTCTCATTTTGTCTTCAGCGCCCTCCCTGTTAAGTTACACCCCAACCATAAACATCAATGATAAGGCCTTTTTATCTGAAGACATTCAACACATATGCTTCTGTACAACGTGGATTTTGCATGAACTTTCAATCAGACGTTGATTTTTCAAAATGGAGGTTTTCATAACAAAATGAGATTAGAGAAAGACATCAGATAATCATAAGATGTGTAAAGAATCCAACAAAATCACCTGTTGGACAAACTTGATGTATACTGAGACCCATGTGGGATGGTAAACATGAAGCAGGCAAATAATCATATAGGCCCTACTTGCAGTGTTTGATATGACTTAAGGCATGAACTACATAAAGTTATAGTTCCTGGAGTTTTAATTCTGTATGACACTAAAAATACACAAATTTTGTACTGGGGATCTTGGCATCTAATCTGCAGATTTCTTATGTATTTTTTCTGGCATGGGAATAGCACTAAGCCAAACATAGAAGTTGCATTTCTGTTAAATTCGTGGCTTTTCAATATCCCTGTGGAAGCTTCATCAGACTTATTCACTAAGCCCATATGTTGGCTAAAATGTACAATAAATTAGGTCTTGTCTGAAGTCCCACTTTCAAGGCAATAGCATCAGGCAGTCAGGTTTATTGAATACAACAGTTGTTTCTGTGACCACTGGAGTCTTTGAAGCAAAGCCGCATTTGAGAACGATATTTCTCCAAATACAAAAGTTGCTTGCTGTTAAAAGCGCCGCGCCGTTTTTCTCTTATAAACTGTACTGCATCTTCGTTTTTCATTCCACTTTCAATTAATGCTAGGGCAACAAGCACCGGAGTCCTCCCAAGACCTGCAACACAGTGAACGGCAATACAACAACCAGGTTCTTCACGAAACTTAACGTCTACAAGACTTAACCAGTCATCAACAATCTGGTTGGATGGTGATGAACCATCATCAAAAGGCCAATCCAGAAACTGGATGCCTTCTTTCTCCACAAGAGCAGGGTCATAAGTTGCTTCACATACTCTTACCATTGTGGTAACCCCGTATTTCTTAAGTTCTTCTATAAATCTGTTTAAGGTCGAATTGGTTGGGTTGTGTATGATTAGAAATCTCATGTTCCCGTATGTGACTTCCACTGGAGCTGGGTGATTCATTGGAGCCATGTTAATTTAGTTAAAAAGAAAAAAAAAAAAAAAGACACTGATATGGTTATGAAAAAAATTAAAAATTTTTGAATACAGAAACGATGTCAAGAAACTGAAGTCTATGCCAATATACTCCACTTGAAATTCACAGAGCTTTGAATATGAAGTTGATACTGACAGGAAATGAAATGAACCTTCCAACAAGAAGCCACGGTTCTTCAATTCAGTAATTCTCAGCCAATGGAAAGGAAGTGCGCCAAGGGTTACCCCATCTAGGTCAGAACTCTTGTAAAATGCTCTGATGATCTCAGTTCTACACTTCTGTGTCCAGGTGACCTGCTTTGCGGGGGCTTCTTGGTGGGGCAGTAACGACTCTCCACCATTCATTTGTCCTCATAAAGGTCGTGCTGAACCTGGCAGTAATCTCCAGGGCCCTTCAGAAACTCCATAAACACACGATCAAGAGCACCACAGAAAGGAATATGTTTACTCAGAACAATGGTGGCCTAACCATACAGCTAGGCCCGCAGCAGCCGCAGCACTGCCCGGAGCAGCCGCAGTCGTCGCGGTGAAGCTGCGGTGGGGTATCAAACTCTAGGAGGACCACCTGAGCGCCTCCACTGAGCCGACACGCGCATGCCGAGGTGCCGTTGCGTCACAAGCCCTCTCTTTCGTAGACCGCGCGCGACGCGCGAACCCCTTCACTAATCGCGGTTGGGCGGACCAGTGAGGACGTCATCACTGCCGCCGCCGACGTGAGCCCGTTGCTGAAGCGAAGAAGCGCTGGATGAATCCCGAGTTTCCTTGTCTCCCACTGGAGAGGAGAGGGACTGAGGAGCGACGCGCGGGTGGTGGGATAGGAAGCATGGAAGAGGCTGGACAGAAACTGCAGGAAGACAAGGTAAGGTTGCGGAAGATTTCCCAGCCGTTGACTCTGACTAGTGTATCTTTTTCTACCTGTTTCATGTTTGTGTCTCTTGGGAACAACATAATATTTGGCGCTTTTTTTTCCCGCATAAATCCAGTCTGACAAACTTTTTTAGCTGAAAAAGCACGTATGCATTTTTGCCCTCTTATTTTGTGCTATTTGACCTATATTTCTGTATTTTTTACCCTTTCTTGACTTGTTTTGGATTAAGGTTTTCCCTCTACTCTTTTGGAAGTTTTCATTGGGGCTAATACTTCCGTAGCACTTATTTTAGGGTAAGCGCTGTTCGAAGCTTAATCTAAATGTAATACAAAACCCCTATGAATTAGATACTAGTGTCATTTCTACTGTCCTGTCTTTAAAAACCTAGGGATAGAACGGTAATTTGCCTAAGGTCACACAGCTAGTAAATGGCAGGGATGAGACTTTTTAAAAAAAAAGAACTAATTTTTACTTTTATTATAAATTCAGAGGGTGCACGTGCACATTTGTTACATGGGTATATTGCGTGACGCAGAGTATGAATGATGATTCTGTCACCCAGATAGTGAGCATAGTACCCAATAGGTAGTTTTGCAAGGCTAAGATCTGAATCCCGGAATTTTGGCTCTGGAGTCTGCCTCTCTAATACATATGGTCTATTATATATCCTATTTCTGTTCTTTTAGTGCTTAAATAACTTAGAAAAAGTCAAACATGGTTCAGAATCTTTTCCTGTCTCTTGAAGGAATTCAGTATGCTTTAACTATTAATGTTGTCAAGCATCTTAATCTTTTAACGCCACAAATTGGACATTATATTATTGTTTGTACAAATCAATGTTTGTTTACGTTTATTCATATTATCAGTTTCTTTGCTCACTATTCCTTCTTGCAGCTCGATTCTTTCTGAGGTTACTTTCTTTTATCCAGAAGCATTTTTTTGGAGGTTCCTTTGAATATCTGATCAACTTTGATAAATGTTTTATATATGCTAGAAAATCTCTCACTGTTGAATCCATTTCCCTTATTGTTAGTAAACCATATTTTGTTTTTTTCTTTAGGTTTCTTTTTTGGCTTTTTTCTAAAATTCTTTTACTTTCCCTTCATTGTTAAAAGTTTTGCTGGGTACACAATTTTACCTTGACATTTTCTTTCAGCCATTTGAAGGAAGGAAGAAAGGGGCCATGTGAAGGCCAGGAAGCAAAGTCTAGACATTTTAGAAAATTCTAACAGTTGTTAGAGAAGAAACCTGAGAATAAGAATATCTTCAGAGGGCTGAGAGAAAATGTCAGTATAGAATTGTGTACCCAGCAAAACTATGTAAAAATCAAGGCGAAGTAACAGAATTTCAGGAGGAAAAAAGCCAAAAAAGAAAAGTGAAAGGGAAGTTTCAAGAGCAAATTAAATCCTTTACTTTTGATAGCCTAAGCTTGTAAAAATGGTGAAGGAAAGCCATCTAGAACAGGGATTCTTGGCCTGTGGTCCAGGGGGCCTAGGAAACTTGTAACTGCATGCAAAATGTTGTATAGGAATATGTACCTGTTTTTAGGAGAAGGGTATATATTTTTCATCAGATTCTTAGAAGACTCCATGACTGCCCAAAACATTGAAAACCACTGAAATAGGAAATCCTTTGATACATTAATCGGTCTGGCTGTGCTGTATTTCCGGAAAAGATAGAACTTGATGATAGCAAGTTGGGGCTAATTACAGAGTTAGACTAATACAAGAATAGTAGTTAACAATGAGGATCATTGAAGACGATCCAAATTACAAAGACTTGCTCAGAAATCTGCTGTTTAGTGAAGGACTATAATAAAGTTTGATTCTTAAAACGGTTGAATGATAGAAAACATTTTAGACCTTATGTCTATATAATTCATATAAGCATGCCTCTGTCTCAGCCTTCATAGACTGGAGCACACAGCCTTGACATCTGTTGTCATGATCCCTTCTTCTCTTCACCTGGCTTTTTCCTGTTTATCCTTAAAATTCAGTTTGGGCTTCATCTCCTCAAAAAGCTTTGCACTCTGTGCCATGGTACACTTACCAGAAGGAATCTACCTTGTTCTTCTAACAACCAATGCACAATGCTATTAGGTTTTTACCTTGTTATGCAGAGGTTTTCTAGTTTTTACCTTGTTATACCAGAGGTTTCACAATGGTATGAAACTAGAAATCATTAACAGGAGGAATTTTGGAAAATTCACAAATACATGGAAATTAAACATGCTCATGAACAATCAGTGTGCCAGTGAAGAAAATAAAAGGGAAATCTAAAAATATCTTGAGACAAAAATGAAAACACAATATACCAAACTTTATGGAATGCAGCAAAAGCAGTTGTAAGAGGAAAGTTTATAGCAATAAATGCCTACACCAAGAAAGAAAATTACAAATAACTAAAAGTTACACCTCAAGGAATTTTTTTAAAAACCCTAAGCCTAAGTTAGTGGAAGGAAAGAGATAATAAAGATCAGACCAGAAATAATCTAATCTCTATTTTATTTCTGCTCTGAACATTAGAAAAACAATACAAAAGAAACTAAAAGGTCATTTTTTGAAAAGATAAAATCAACCAGCCTTTAGCTAGACTAACCAAGAAAAGAAAAAGAGAAAAGATTCAAATAAAATCAGAAATAAAGAGATGTTACATTTGACAACACAGAAGTACAATGGATCATGAGAGACTATTATGAATAATTATTTGCCAAAAACTTGTGTAACCTAGAAGAAATGGATGTATTCCTACACACATACAAACTGCCAAGACTGAATCATGAAGAAATAGAAAAATCTGAGCAAACCAATAATGAGTAAGGAAATTGAATCAGTAGTAAAAAGTATCTCACCAAAGAAAAGCCCAAGAACAGATGGCTTCACTGCTGAATTCTACCAAACATTTAAAGAAGAACTAATACCAATTCTCTACAAACTGTCTCAGGAAAAAAAAAAACAAAAAAAACTAAAACAAACAAACAAAAAGAATGGGAGATAATACTTTCAATACTGGTCTTTTTAGGACCAGTATTACCCTAATACCAAAGCCACACAGGCACATCACAAGAAATGAAAACTACAGGCCAATATCCTTGATGAGCATAGATGCAAAAATCCTCAACAAAATACTAGCAAACCAAATCCAACAACACATTAATAGGATCATTCACCATGATCAAGTGGGATTTATCCCTGGGTTGCAAGAATGGTTCAATATTCTCAAATCAATAAATGTGATATATCACATGAACAGAATGAAGGACAAAAATCATATGACCATCTCATTAAATGCAGAAGAAGCATTTGACAAACTCAGCATCCTTTCATGACAAAAACACTCAACAAATTAATTGCAGAATGAATATACTTCAGCACAACAAAGGCCATATATAATAAGCCTACAGCTAACATTATACTCAACACTAAAAACTTGGAACTCTTTCTTCGAAGATCTGGACCAAGGATGTACACTCTTGCCACTTCTGTTCAATGTTATATTGAAAGTCCTTAGAGCAATAAAGCAGAAGAAAGAAAAGACATCCAAATAGGAAATGAAGAAATAAAACTATTGTTATTTGCTGACAACATAATTTTGCATACAGAAAACCTTAGGCCAAGTGTGGTGGCTCAAGCCTGTAATCCCAACCCTTTGGGAAGCCAAGGCAGGAGGATCACTTAAGGCTAGGAGTTAGAAACCAGCCTGGTCAACATAATGAGACCCCCATTTCTACAAAAAAAAGAAAAAACCCTTAAGATTCTAACAAAAAGCCATTAGAATTGATCAACAAATTCAGGAAACTTGCAGGACACAAAATCAACACACAAAAGTCAGTAACATTTCTTTACATTAACAAGGAACTTTCCAAAAAAGAAATCAAGAGAACTATCATTTATAGTTGCTACTAGAAATAAATTACTGAGGAATATGTTTAACCAATTAGGCAAAAGATTTATATAAAGACAACTATAAAACATTAACAAAAGAAATTGAAGAAGACAAATAAATTGAAATAGATCCCATGTTCATGGACTGGAAGAATTAATATTGTTAAAACGTCCATACTACACGAATCATCTGCTGATTTCAGTTCAATATCTATCAAAATTCCAATGTTATTTTTCATAGATATAGAAAAAACAATCCTAAAATTCATACGGAACTACAAAACAAACAAACAAATAGCCAAGGCAACTGTGACCAAAAAGAACAAAGCTTGAGGTATCACACTACCTAATTTCAAACTATACTACAAACTGATGGTAACTGAACAGCATGGTACTGGCATTAAAATAGACATACGAACCAATGGACAGAATAAAGAACCCAGAAATTAACCCATGTATCTACAGTCAATTGATACTCACCAAAAGTGCCAAGAATATACAATGGGAAAAGGACAGGCTATTCTATATATGGTGCTGGGAAAACTGGATATCCATAGACAAGAGAATGAAATTGGACCCTTATCTCACACCATATACAAAAATCAACTCAAAATGAATTAAAGACATAAACATAAAACCGGAAACTGTAAAACCACTAGAAGAAAACACAGGGAAAACTGCATGACATTGGTCTGGGCAATGATTTTTTAGGTTTGACCCAAAACTACAGGCAACATATGCAGTAAACAAATGGGATTACATCAAAATAAAAAATTCCTACACAACAAAGAGAGCAATTAATAGAGTGAAGAGACAACCTACAGATTGGGAGAAAAATATTTGCAACCCATACATATGATAAGGGATTAATATCCAAAATATATAAGGAACTCAACTCTATTAAAAAAAAAAAAAAGAGAGAGACATGGGCAAGGAACCTGAATAAACATTTCTCAAAGGAAGACATATGAATGGCTAACAAATACATGAAAAAATGCTCAACATCACTAGTCATTGGAGAGATGAAAATTAAAACTACAATGAGCTATGACTTCACACCTGTTAGAAAGGCTATTATCAAAAAGAAAAGATAACAAGTGTTGGCTAAGATATGGGAAAAACCTTGTACACTGTTGGTGGGAAATATAAATTAGTATAGCCATTATGAAACACTGTATGAAGATTCCTCAAAAAACTAAAAATACAGTTACTATATGACCCCAGTTACCATATGACTCAGCACTCTCGCTTCTGGTTATTTGTCCTAAAGATTTGAAGTCAAATGTAAATATGTCAAAAGAGATGTTCTTTGCAGCACTATTCACAATAGCCAGGATGTGGAATCAACCCAAGTGTCCAACAATAGATGAATGAATAAAGAAAATGTGTTATATATACATAATGGAATAATATTTAGCCATGAAAAAGAATGAAATGCTGTCATTTATGGCAACATGGATGGAACTGGAATTTAGTGAAGTAAGCCAAGAACAGAAAGTTAAACGCTGAATGTTCTTACTCATATGTGGAAGATAAAAAATAGTTGATCTTGGCTGGGCATTGGTGGCTCATGCCTGTAATCCCAGCACTTTGGGAGGCTGAGGCAGGCAGATCACAAGGTCAGGAGATCGAGACCATCCTGGCTAACACAGTGAAACCCTGTCTCTACTAAAAATACAAAAAATGAGCCAGGCGTGGTGGTGGGTGCCTGTAGTCCCAGCTACTCGGGAGGCTGAGGCAGGAAAATGGCATGAACCCAGGAGGTAGAGCTTGCAGTGAGCCAAGATTGTACCACTGCACTCCAGCCTGGACAACAGAGCGAGACTCTGTCTTTAAAAAAAAAAAAAAAAAAAAAGTTGATCTCATAGAAATAAAAAGTAAAGGTATTGTGGATAGCATTGGAGAACGTTATGCTAAGTGAAGTACACCAAACACAAACAAATGCCAGATCTTCTCATATGTGGAATCTAAAACTCATATAAGTAGAGAGTAGAATGATAGTTCCCAGAGGGTGGGGGATGGGAGGAATGGGGAGATGATAGTTGAAGAAGTGTACAAAGCCTCAAATAGGAAAAATAAGTTTGATTGTGTGTGTGTGTGTGTGTGTGACAGTCTTGCTCTGTCACTCAGGTTGGAGTGTGGTGGCACGATCTCAGCTCACTGCAACCTCCACCTCCTGGATTCAAGCGATTTTCCTGCCTCAGCTTCTTGAGTAGCTGGGACTACAGGTGCATGCCACAATGCCCAGCTAATTTTTTGTATTTTTAGTAGAGACAGAGTTTCACCATGTTGTCTAGGCTGGTCTCGAACTCCTGACCTCAGGTGATCCGCCTGCCTTGGCCTCCCAAAGTGCCAAGTTTACAGGTGTGAGCCACCACGCCCAGCCAAGTTTGATATCTTTTTGAGATCTGTTGCACAGTGTGGTGAATATAATGAGCACTTTACGTGTCAATGTCTCTAAAAGAATAAATTTCAAATATTCTTATCACAAAAAGTTAAATATTTAAGGTGATGGACATTTTAATTCACTTGATTTAATCATTCCACATTGTATTCAAAAATCACAATATCACTTTATACCCCGTAAATATATACAACTATAATTTGTCAATATATAATTTTTAAAAACAATTTTTAAGGGTCTGACTGTAGTACTGACTGCTACCCATGACAGTAAATTATAAATTCAATTCCTCCAGTAAAAAGGTCTATGAAGTTAAATCTGCTCACCTGAATATACCAAAATTAACTTATTTTTCTTTAACAAGGAATTCTACTTTTTTTTTTTTTTTTTTTGAGACGGAGTCTCACTTTGTCACCAGGCTGCAATGTGGTAGTGTGATCTCAGCTCACTGCAACCTCCACCTCTGGGTTCAAGTGATTCTCCTGCCTCAGCCTCCCGAGTAGCTGGGACTACAGGCACGTGCCACCACACCCAGCTAATGTTTGTATTTTTAGTAGAGACAGGGTTTCACCATGTTGGCCAGGACGGTCTCAATCTTTTGACCTCATGATCCACCCACCTCGGCCTCCCAAAGTGCTGGGATTACAGGCGTGTGCCACTGCCCCCAGCCAGCATTCTATATTTTTAAAAAATATATTAGTATAACACTATTATAGTAATTTATTATATATTAGAGACAAATTACTTCAAGGGTGCAGCAGATATAGATTCAGGCAGGTCAGGCCGTGTTGGGGAAAGCCTGTTGTTTTAAATATTGGTTAATGATGATTGGTATTGCGGGATCTGGCCAGCAGTCTGCAATGCAAAGGGGCTCTTTGTTCCCAGGCGGATTGACAGGTTGAGAAATAATAGACACACGCAAGGTAGTGAAAGCTGGGTCCACAGGGGTCACTGCCTTCTGGTCCCGCGATGCCGCCAATGCAGTGGATATGCCAGCATTTATTATTAAGTTTAATGAGGGCGGGGGTAGGTTAGTGAGGGATTTAGGGTCATTGGATTATGAGGTGAGATGGTCACATGGGGATGAAGTAATTCTTTAACATAACATCTGTATGCAGAAGTACAGTATACAGAGATAAGAATTTACAATATAGTGTGTGCATCAGTAATTTCTAACACAGCCTTAAAACAGAAACACAGTCTTTCCATAACCTATGATTAGCAAGATATTAATCAGCAGTAACAGTTGAGCAAAAGCTGGTTACAAACAATCCATAGAAACAGGATGTGAAGCTAGACAACTGGTTAGAACAGAAATTCTCAGAAGGGAGTGTGCCTTGACCCTAAAGAGACCCAGAAGAGCCATGGCAAGATGAGGGCGTTTATAACCCTATCTTATCCATATGAACAGGTGCCCCTCATGAACCTGTTTATAGGCTCTCCACAAGGGTCGCGTTCCATTCCCAGAGGTGTGAACATCTGCTTTTCTGGGATAGGAATCTTGGTGATGTGAAACCTCCCTGACTGCACGTTCGTTCGTAGGCTCTCTGCAGGGGGAAGTACGTCACGCACTGTTGGCTTATTCTGGCAGTCCAACCTGGCATTGTCTTTACACAATCCTACATGCAACTTTGTATTTACAATAATCAGGAGCATTTCATCTTTTATTCCATAGCAATAGTTTCATGGGGTCTCCCTACAGATTGGCCCTCCATAGAATGATTTGTTGAGGAAATGAAAGGCAGAAATGGAGAAAGATTAGAGAAGAGGTTCCAAAAAATTGTGATCATCAGCAGGTATGCTTGTTTTCGTAGAAAAAGATAACATTAGCAACAAAATTTGTCCAGTATCAGCTTGAGTGAATATTTTCTCCGTAACTTTTCAGGGCTCAACACATTCCTATTTTGTATTTGTAGTAGGGCAAAATGAAAGTTTAAATATTCACAAACATCTTCCCACATAAACTTTCCCTCATTTCCCAAGGGAGAGATGTGGCAGGCAGAAAACAAATAGTCTAAGAGACTTCCTTCTTAGCTTTTGTATTTCAGAAATCTAGACTTCACTCTATTTTACCTCAATTAGTCGGACAGGGCAGGGAGAGAAGAAAGTACGCAGATAAATGAAGAAAGTTTTTAGTTGAGAACAGCCATACCTTAACTGAAAGTCAGTCCTCTGACAGGGAGATGAGTCCTCTTGAACAGCACCTACAGCTCAAGAATGAAGTGAAGTAGTGGGAGACTCACCTCACAGTGCACAGTTATTCCAAGGGCATGGAAATAGCTGGACAAGGGAATGATATCTTGGGAGGCCCCACTAAAGTCCCAGGTATGTCATCAATGAGAAAACTCAGGGAGCATTTTTCTGGCCTCCTAGGTAAATAGTCAAACCCATCTCTGTGATGTACACACATATACCCCTCTGGAAAAGTCTAGGGTTGGGGGAGGGGAGAGGGGTAAAATGTACCATTATGAATTGTCATGCACAGTCGGGCACTTAGAAAATATTTATTATTGCCACTATTCATTACAGACGAAAAAAGTTTTGTACACAAAGTCATGGAGCAGCAGCAGGGCTGGGTCAGCAGTACCCCAGCAGCCATAATGAATCTGGGTCCCCTTCCCAGCCCCTGTGCAGCAGGTTCTAGCCCTCAGGACCATTTAGACACCTTCACTGCCATCAGAGACGAGTATAGGAAATAAGTGGAGGTGGGAGAAAGGCAGGAGTGAATTCAATAAGGGCTTAACAAGCAATCTAATGAAAGCACCAAACCTAAACAATGATTTTTTTCTCTGAGGTAAAAATATGCAGTTTCACAATCACCCCCAAACATGTAAAAGATAAAAACTTTCCCCAGGAAACACAGATCCAAACTTTGAGTTTTACACAAGCAACCGGGAGCCTGGCAGAAACTTGTTCAGGGGCCACAGGTTGCTCTCGCCCACATTGGAGGTGCGTCTCTGGCACTGCTTGCAGCGCCGATACTTCTCACACTGGTCTAGGAGAAACAGCTTGTCTGAAGCCCTGAGGAGAGGAGAGCAAATGCAGATTAGCAGGTTTCTGGAGCCTCTAGAGGCCCAACTTGGAAGCTGGTATGGCAGGAGGTACACAAAAGAAAAGTAACACTTTGTGTTCCCTGCTTGCCATGTGGCAGTTCACCCCCTCCTGACATCCCCTGCTTCCAAACCTCTGCTGGCTTGTCATTCTCCACTTAATAAAAAGCCCCAACTTGTGCCTTCACAGCAGTCTGACTCTACCCCTCCCAGCCTCAGCCACCCAAGCCCACAGAGAACTTGCTGAAGGTCACACAGCCAGCCGACAGTGGCTCCAAAGCCTCTGTATTGACTGTTTTGCCATGTGGATTATACCTCTGCCTGCTGAGCTCCCAGGAGACAGTGTTTGAGAGGAAGATCAACCATTAAGTTGCTGGTTATCAGCTAACAACAGCAGAGAGTTAAGTGGACTTACAATGAAATATCCCAGGAGGCCAGAAGCCTCTGGAGAATTAAGGGCAGGAGAGGGAGTAGAGACAAAGAGGAAGATGAAAGCAACTAAAAGCAGAGATAAACAGGCAGTAGTAACTGATTTTCCCCTTTGATAGTTTTTCTTCATTATGAAAGACAGTCCCTCATGTGCTCTTCTACCCAATCAAAATTTCTCCATAGGTGGATTTTCCTTTTCTTTTTTTTTTTTTTTTTTTGAGACTGGGTCTCCCTCTGTCACCAGGCTGGAATGCAGTGGGTCAATCACAGCTCACTGCAGCCTCGACTTCCTGGGCTCCAGCGATCCACCCACCTCAGCCTCCTGAGTAGCTGGAATGCCAGGTGTGTACTACCACACCAAGCTAATTTTTGTATTTTTGGTAGAGACAGGGTTTCACCATATTTGCTCAGGCTAGTCTCACACTTCTGAACTCTAGCAGTCCATCCGCGTCAGCCTTCCAAAGTGCTGGGATTACAGGCATGAGTCATGGCATCCAGCCAGAATTCTGTTTAAGAAGGATTATCAAGGGCAGTCTTGAAAGAAAAAAGAATAAACTACCTTGGAAGTGAGCAGGGGAAGAGCTACCTGGCTGGAACAGAGTGTCATGTGCTAACTGCATGCATATGGACTTTGGTTTTACTTTTGCTTTATTTTCTTTTAATACCAACCAATTCCCTCTTCCTACTGCTGCCTGCTCAAGTATCTGTCCACACTTGGCCTAGGTCCTCAGACAAGTCTGCTTCACGATATACCTGGAGTAGATTTGTTAGCCTGCCACTCAACATTATTTTCTGGGTCTCCTCAATCCTTTATCACCATGTTGGCCAAGCACCCTTCCCAAACACAACTGAAATCTTCCTAGCATTAATCTCACTGACTTTTACCTGCCTTCCCAGATCATTGAGAAAATAGCTTGAAATCCCCAACTGCCCTTTCCTCTCCTTTTCTCTAAGCCAAATGACTCCACTTCTCCTTTGGATCCTATTTTCCACATCATCACTCATACTTTCATTGTCACAAAATATGGGTTCTACTCATTAGAAAGATGGGTGAGAAATGCTTTACAAGAAAACCTAAAAGGAAAAGGAGAGTTACAGATCAAGATCCATTCTACAGATTTTATCCATGATTAAAAATTAATTGATAATTGTCAATTTAAACTATTATTTTGGTATATTTGGGTTTTAATAATTTGGTTGTATAGACTTGATCTGTTTCATCACATTTTTAACATGCTATAAAATCATACCTTACATTCGTATTTTAATTTTGTTTTCAAGGTGTAGTACAACAGCAGTGATGTGAATAGTTAAGCTGAGGAGAGGTCAGGCATATAATAATTTCAGAAAGATGCTCTTGGTTGGCTCCATAATAGGCATCTTACTTTTCCAATTGCCAATCTTATGACCCCTGGCCCTGCTCTTAAATAACCATTCCCTAAGCCTTGAAAATGTTCAGATTGGAAACTCACTCCCCCTACTTCCAAATAGTTATTTCCAAAGAAAATCTTCACTCTCCACAAAAAGCAAATAAAGCCACCCTAAGCAGAGACAAATATTAGAGCAGGGTTAGTAAATACCTAGCATACAATGCAGCATTCTTCAATCCCATGTCTATAACAGACATTTCTAATCAATCACGGCAGTATTTCCCATGGAATACAGACTTGCTTTCTTCACAGAGTTCTCTAGGCAGCCACTACTAATCAAGTGGAGTTCCACTTGAAACCCATTGCCGTCCCACAAGAAGCAGGAGAATTTTGGGGTTCCAATCAGGCATTACCGTTCAAAAGCCTTCTCCTCCAGGTCTCGCTGCTTCTTCATCGCAGCACTCCTTTCCCAGTCCTCCTGTAAGCATTGGTTGATTCTATTTACTCGCTCCAGCTCAGCGGCTCTGTCTGCCACATGCCTGGAGAGAAAAGAACAGCCTGACTCCATAATACTTGGTAAGAGCATGCACCAACTTTGGGAGCCCCATTCCTTTTATGTTAAACAGAAAAACCTTCTGGTTTTGTTCACTACTCTGAAATATACTAAAAAGTGTGAACACTGTAAAAGCATACTGAAATTCCTAGCTCTCAAATAATTTATGGGTCAGAGGTCTTTCATCTTCAATCCTGGTTTGATTTAATAGGATTGAAACCTTTTTTCAATTAACAACTTCAGCCTGTAAAACTATTAATTTCCTTTGAGACTAATGTAACTTATCTGAAGAATCATCCCAAATGAATTTCCTATACTCTGTTTCTTTCCTTTTAGTCCAGCCTCTAAGCTGCCAGTACTCAGCCTACCAGTCACTGCAGACATTTTACAAGGCAAAATAGATAGGTATACAAATGAAAGTCTACAAAAAGAGAAAATAAACATAAGTGACTAAGCAATGGAAAAGCAAATAGAGAAAATATTAACATTGTGAAGAAGGCAAGGAAAAAAAAAACAACAGGAATGTTTGGTGAAGGCCATGTCATCAAAGAAGTGACTGCAGTATAATCTCTCTCTTCATAGGGAGATATTCCCAGTGTTGTGTTTCTATCACTGGTCTCCAAACACTCCATCACTACTGTTGTGAATCACCTTAAGCCTGGTTCAGATTATGTGTCTATTTCTTGCCAAACTGAAAGGTTTACTGTCAGTTCTCATTGAAATCTAGAAGGAGCTTCACAAAATGTAACTGTTGATGTAGCCTGCTTTGAAGGGCTTTGTGTTACAGGTAGCATCAGCCTCTGGGTGTCAGGATCCTTCAATAAAAATCAGTTAATGTCCTCTCTACTGTCTCACTTTTTCCTAAAACGGCACACCTTTTCATCTAACAAGCATTGATTGAGCAGCTATTGTGTGGTTATTATAAAGACCAAATGATACACAGGAAGTGCCAGTGCCTGTCACATAGTTGGAGCTCAATGACTGAAGAATACCTATTACTTTTTTCATAAGTTATTTTTCTTTTTGTAGATTTTTTTATTGTGGTTTTCAAAAAACGCATAACAAAATTTACTATCTTAACCATTTTCAAGTGTACAGTTACTTAGTGTTAAGTACATTCATGTTATGCAACCAATCTCCAGAACGCTTCCACACTACAAAACCGAAACTATACCATTAAACAGCTCCCCATTTCTGCCTCCTCTAGCCCTTGGCAACCACCATTCTGCTTTCTGTTTCTGTGATTTTTACTTCTCTGGATAACTCATATAAGTGGAGTCATACAGTATTTTGTCTTTTTGTGACTGGTTTATTTCACTTAACATAATGACCTTGAGGTTCATCCACAGTGTAGCATGTGTTAGAACTTTCTTCCTTTTTAAGAGTGAATAACAATTCCATTGTACAGTGTGTATATATACACACACTACATTTTGTTTATCCATTCATCTGTCCATGGACACTTGGAATGCTTCTACTTCTTGGCTGTTATAAAAAGTACTGCTATGAACATGGCTGTACAGATAACTTTTGAGATCAGCTTTCAATTTTTTTGAATACATAGCCAGAAGGGGAATTACTGGATGATGTAGTAGTTCTATTTTTAATTTTTTGAGGAACCACCATACTGTTTTCCATAGCAACTGTACCATTTTATGTTCACACTAACAGTACACAAAGGTTTCTACTTCTCACCAACGCTTGTTATTTTTTTTTCATAGTAGCTATCCTGATGGATGTGACATAGTATCTCACTGTGATTTTGGTTTGCACTTTCATAATAATTCATGTTGTTAATCATTTTTCATTTGCTTTTTGGCCATTATTATGTTATTTTTTAAACGATAGGTTAAAAGCATTTTAAATGCCTAGAAAGTAAGAAAATGAGGCAGAGATTATGTGGGGGACAACTGGCATTCTCACAACATTGCTGAGAAACAAGTTGCTTTGCCTTCTTAGCAATTTAACTGTCAGTTTCTGGTAATATTTCAAATGTATCATATATTAGCCAGGAGTGGTGGCGTGTGCCTCTAGTCCCAGCTACTGTGAGACTGGGGCATGAGAATTACCCGAACCGAGGAGGCAGAGGTTTCAGTGAGCCAAGATTGCAGCCTGGGTGACAGATTGAGCCTCTGTCTCAAAAAAAAAAAAAAAAAAAAAAAAAAAGGAAAATTAAATGTACCATACACTTGACCCAGCAGCCCCACTTTTGGGAATTTATCTGATAGAAACAAGAACCACTATATTAAAGATGTTTAATTCAGAATTGTTGTAATAGCAAAATATCTGGAAACAAAGTGAATGTTCATCAATAATGCAAAAGTTAAATTGTTATACATCTATATTATAGATAATATGCTGCTATTAAAGAAGATGATTCTTATATATATGTACTGACTTGTATATGACATTGTTAGGTTAAAGAAAGATTAGTTTGCAGAGTAATAGAAAAGATCTCATAGACTATTTCATTTACAAAAGTGGAAGGAAAAATATGTGTGCATATTGCTTAAATAGGAAAAATTGTTTAAATTTTTTTTGTAAAAAATAATGAAGGTTAATATGTATCCTATTTTTTAATTATTTTTTTACAAAAAAATTTTTAAACATTTCCTATTTAAGCAATATGCACATATATATTGGCTACTTAGTAGGGGAGATTATTAGCCTTTTTTTTTTTTTTTTTTTTTTTGAGGCAATCTCTCGCCCAGGCTGAAGTGCCGTGGCGCAATCTCAGCTCACTGCAACCTCTGCCTCCCAGGTTCAAGCATTCTTGTGCCTCAGCCACCCGAATAGCTGGGATTACAGGCACGCACCACCATGCCCAGCTAATTTTTGTATTTTTAGTAACGACGGAGTTTCACCATGTTGCCTAGGCTGTTCTCAAACTCCTGGGCTCAAGTGATCTGCCTGCCTTGGTCTCCCAAAGTGGTAGGATTACAGGCGTGAGCCATCGTGCCCAGCTAGTCTTCAGTTGATTTCTTTTAATGAGAATGAATTGTTATTTTTGAAAATAAGAGCAAAAAGAAAAAAAACAAGTATAAATAGCTTAGAGTCCTGTCTGGATCACTCTGACTAAATTATCCCCTTTGAAAGAAAGTGGCCTTCTATTTGTCACAAGAGAATCTAAGATCACATGTTGAGATGAACCAGAGAGGGACCAGGGAAGGGAGTTGGAAAAGATAAGGGAAGTGAGAGAATCTGCAATAACCAGTAAAGAATATGTAAACAGAAAACAAGATCTGACCAATACAGAAATAGGGATTTGTACAGTTTCCGCAAATGCTCTCACATACATAATCTCATCTAATTCTCCCAGTAAGGATAGGAGGGGCAGATGTGATTATTCTTCTTTCTCATATGAGGACAATAAGGCTCAGAGACCTTACATGTGATATGGCCCAAGTCATACAACTTAAAAGTGACAGAGTTTAACCCTCCTGATTCCAAGCTTAGGAAATAACTAGAGAAGCTAACAGAAGCAGAAGAGGAAGTAGCAATAGTCTTAGCAACAAATACAGAGGGTCCCATATCTGGCTATGGAAAGCACACTTTGCTTCCCACTATGGGACAAGTGATGGTGGTTCTGCTGTTATAAAACAGAAGCTAAAGAGGAGCTGAATGCTTACCTAAGGGATTACATTTTTTAAAAAAAATCAGTGGGAAAGACATCTTCCTTTCAGGCATGTTTAGGCTTTACAAATGTATCAGATAAAGGACTTGTACACAGAATATATAAAGAACTTTCAAAACTCAACAATGAGAAAAGAGTTTATAAAATAAGCAAAAGATTTGGATTGATACTTTATACCCTTAACCAAAGAAGATACACGGATGGCAAATAGGCATATGAAATGATGTTCAACATCACTAGTCATTAAAGAAATGCAAATTAAAGCATGAGACACCACTATACACCTATTAGAACAGCTAAAATTAAAAAGACTGATTGGGCTGGGTGCTGTGGCTCACACCTGTAATCCCAACACTTTGGTAAGCTGAGGCAGGAGGATTGCTTGAACCCAGAAGTTCAAGACCAGCCTGGGCAACATAGTGAGACCCTGTCTCCCCAAAAAGGTTAAAAATTAGCTGGGCATGGTGGCACTCGCCTGTAGTCCCAGATACTCCAGAGGCTGAGGTGGGAGAACTGCTTGAGTCCAGGATGTTGAGGCTGCAGTGAGCCATGATCATGCCACTGCACTCCAGTCTGGGTGACAGAGCAAAACCCTGTCTCAATCAATAAAATAAAATAAAGACTGATTACCCCAAGTGCTGGGAATGACGGGGAGGACTGGAATTCTCATACACTATTGGTTGGGAATGTAAAGTAGTACAACCACTTTGGAAAACACTAAAGTGTCAAGAGAGGTTTTTAAAATTTTACTTAGTAACTTTTTCTTCAGATAAGGAATTAGGATAAAACAAGATGAAGCATGTAAGAAGTTTAAAACAATGTCTCACACAAATAACTCCTCAATGTGTTAGCTATTATTATTACTATTCTTACTTCTCCACTATTGTATGAGAAAGATGAGGGGCAGGAACAGGGTGGAGAAAGAGAGAGACAGGAGGCGGAATAAGTGAGGAAAGGTGGAGGGAGAAAGATCAGGGGTCTCCTTACTCTCTTTGTGTCCTCTGAAGCATTTGCAAATCCCGCCTCTGGTCCACTAGTTGATGCAGGATGGCTTTCCTCTTGTGGTTAGCAGCTGCCTCCAGCTGGTGTTTCATGTAATTTTGTTCTCGCTTTTGCTTTTCCACTATCAGTTCACCCTCATTCTTACCAAAGATGGGCTCAGAGGAGTCTGGCTCAAAGGGCGGCAGCCGGGAGGGTTTGTTCTTTATCTTAAACAAAGATACACATAATGCAGAGATACACATAATGCACATAATCATTCTATCAGGGAATACACTTTATGCACAACCCTGTAATGTGGTAAAATACCAGTGTCTTACAGGAAGGAATGTGGGGCACAAAAACTACCAAATGCACAACACATAAAAATATAACAACTTATACATATTTTAGGATGTTATTGAAGCAATGCATAATTTTAAAAACAGTAATATTTGTCCCCTTACCTGTGCATCCAAAGCTCTCTTGTAACACTGTGTTTCTTCCATCTTATCTTTTAAAAATTTCGCTCTTTGCACAGCAAGTCTGGCAGTTAAGAACAGGAGAAGATGGACCACAGTTTTGCAGTCTTTAGTAATACGGATTAACATCATCAAAACAGGTTTAATAAATATTAAATAGGAATAAGAGTCTGGTAAATAAAAATGGATGTTTTATTCTGGTAGCTTTCATTTTAAGAAAGAAAAGAGTAACTCAAATCCATAGGCAGCCGGGCACAGTGGCTCATGTGTGTAATCCCAGCACTTTGGGAGGCTGCAGTGGGCAGATCACTTGAGGTCGGGAGTCCGAGACCAACCTGGCCAACATGGTGAAACCCGGTCTCTACTAAAAATACAAAAATTAGCCGGGGGTGGTGGTGGGTGCCTGTAATCCCAGCTACTCAGGAGGCTAAGGCAGGAGAATTGCATGAACCTGGGAGGTGGAGGTTGCAGTAAGCCATGATCACACCACTGCACTCCAGCCTGGGCAACAGAGCGAGACTCCAGCAAAAAAAAACCCCCAAAAAACCAAACCAAAACAAAACAAAAACTCCATAGGCTAGTGAACAGTGTGTTGAACACAGGACAGGACAGGTATAGACAGGTGACTGACCATATTGTCCAAATGGCTTACTACTAAAACAGCAGACACATCACCACCACTCCACCTCTTCCCACACCCACCAGTTATTTTAAAAATCTAGATAAGAAAGCAGGAAGTGACTATTCATTCTATAAACTGATCTATTTTGAAATCTCTTAAGTTACCTATCCTATTAAAAATTATGGTTCTATTATATGTAACTTCTAAAGAACTCATATACGATCTTTCAAGTGAGTATAATGGAATATATACATTTTATTGAAATACATTTTTTCATCATGGAAGCTTTCCTCTTATTTATTTTAGGAGTTTCTGTTCACACTATAACAGCCTCCACAGTTGTTCTCCCAATCTCAGCAGCAAAAATGTGGGCCCCCTTAGGCATATATAAACTCCATGTCCCTGACCCTATCCCAGGCCTCAAGATAGCCCAATCTGGACCAATCAGATGCTCTTTCCTGAAAATGTGGAATTGAGAGTACCATTCTCCAAGTTTGAGCTGGAACACAGACAATGTCAACTAAGGGGTTGTGTATGTAAGCAGAGGGAAAACTGCTTTACGTGGCTTTTTAGTCCTTCCTATGTTCCCTGTACATTCCTGCCCTCAGGTTCCATGGGACACCCCTACATAATTATAATAAAACCTCAGCTTTGCCATGAGGTCATTTGAACATCTAATAGCTAGGAACAGCTGCTCAAGATGAGTCCCTTTCTTCATCTACTGATATTGGCGATTGCAAAAACAATACAAAATTATGCTCTGTATTATAGTAATTACAGATTGACCATCACTACTATAATGATAACTATGACAGCTTTTTCATTTTTGTAATAAAAAATTATGGTACTGATACAGAAGGGAAGTGCTGGGAAGGGAAGAGCATGGTCCCTTTAAATGATATGGAAGTGGGGGAAGGGCATGGTCCCTGGCTAGGACTCCACCCTAGGACATGGTCCCTGGCTAGGGTTCCACCTGTGCCCATGGACCTAGATGAGGACAGGCATTTTTGTTTTCCTGCCTAAATGTTGCATTTCTCAAGACCACCCTGGTCTGCCACACCCCCATCCTGTGCCTCTAAAAACCCCTGAGACCCTAGCAGGCAGGCACACAAGCGGCTGGACGTCAAGAGAAACACATCAGCAGAGGAACACACAAGTGGCTGGACGTTGAGAGGATGTCCAGAGCACACCAATAGGCACTGGCACGCCAGCAGGCCGTCAACCAGCACAATAACGTGGAGTTTGGCTGAAGTGGTTGGAGGGGAACCCGGGCCGCACAGCAGCCCGACCCCAGGGGAAAACCATCTCCTTTCTGGCTCATCCATCTGTTGAAAGCTACTTCCACTCAGTAAAACCTTGCACTCCTTCTCCAAGCCCACGTGTCATCCGATTCTTCTGGTATATCAAGGCAAGAACCCTCGGATACAGAAAGCCCTCTCCTTGCAATAAGACAGGGGTCTAATTGCGCTAACACAAGCCCCCTACAGACGGCTAAACTAAAAGAGCCCTCTGTAACACATGCCCGCTGGGGCTTCAGGAGCTGTAAACATTCACCCCTAGATGCCGCTGTGTGGCCAGAGCCTCATAGCCTGCCCATCTGTATGCTCTCCTAGAGGTTTGAGCAGCAGGGCACTGAAGAAGCAAGCCACACCCCCATTGAGCGCCCTGCGAGGGGGATAAGAGAACTTTTCCCATTTCAGTACTGGCTGCTAACTGGGTTAGTCTGCTCAGTTGGTTACAGTGTGCTAATGAAACTACCAATGCTGATTCAATCCTACATGGAAAGTAACCACATGAAAATTCCAAATCCATCTTTCAGAGTGTGTGTAGCTGGACTTACTCCTCTGTGAGTTGCACTTGTTCCAGGCGATCCATCAACTCTCTGTATTGTCTTTGCTTTATTTCGTTTTCCTGTCTGTTATCCATTTGTTTCAGAAGACTCCGGGAATATTCCTCTTGCTTAAGAGCATTAAACGCAGGACTGAGTGGCCGTTTGTCAAATAGGAAGGACTTCTAGAATGAAAGAGAAGCAATTCATTTATGCTAGAATACCAAAAAAACAAGGTTAATAATTCAGAAGACTAAAGTCAAACAGAAAATATTTCTTAATTTATAATATTTGCCCAGCCCTCAACACACTGACCAGCTAGTGTTGAGGTAACCCACAGAATCATATGAGTGTGTTCAAGGATAAAGCTGAGCTGAGCTGACTGTGTTACCAAAACACCAGGGGTTTGGTCTAGGTCCTCACCGCACAGAAAGCCAATCACTGAGACAATGATTATTGCCCAGGAAGAAGGCTTTACTTGGGTGTTGTAGCCAAGAAGATGAGAGATCAGTCTCAAATCCATCTCCTTGACCAACTAAAAGTAGGGGTTTATATAGCAGGGAAGAATTGAAACTATGTATGGGAAAATCAGAATTCGGGAGGGATAAGGAAGCAGTCATAGTTAGTGGAGGGGCCTGGCTCATTGTCTGAATGCAATCATCTGGTGAGTTTCAATTCTTTTTGGAAGACCTAGTGGTTTTTTCTCGAGGAAGAAACTCAGATAAGACAAACCTTAAGTTTCAAGCTTTAAGACCAAAAGGGTCAATTTCTACGTTTATTTAAAATAAAAACAAAAATAAACAAAAAAACCTGTCTGTGGGACAATTGGGTCAATTTCAACTGGAATCCTATTGCTGAGACAGAGGAAAAAGGACTCCATGGAGTAGGTTGTGAGTTAGCATTTACAACATCCAGATGGAAGGAAGAAGGAATTCTGAGTGCATGCAAAATCATGCAAGGACAGAGAGGAACTGGAAAGAGGGCAAACTGAATACCTACTGTGGGCCTGGACATTCTAGACCCTGGTGATCCAACAGTGAGCAACAACAGAGATCCTCACACTCATCAAGCCTGCATGCTGGTGCAGGAGACAGACAAGGAACAAGAAACGGTACATCGGGTCATTTAAGATAGTGCTAAGTGCTAGGAAGCCCTTATGATAGCAAGTGGCTGGGTGGGAAAAGAGCTAAACTGGTTATTAAGGGAAGGCTTTTCCATGGAGAAGATGAATCACCCTCACTGTAAATATCAGGGAGACTTGTGTTCCATACAGAAGGAACATTAGTGCAAAGACACTAGATGGAAACAAGCTACACATGTTCAGTGAGCAGGGAAAAAGTCTCTGTGGCTGAGGCATAGTGACGAAGGGAAAGGAGAAGGCATAGTGACCAAGAGGAAGGCAGGGGTCAAAGCGTGTAGAATTTGACAGTTGAAGGTGAGGAGTCTAAATTTCATTTTAACTCAATGGGAGGCCAGTGGAGGTTTTCAATGGGAGAATAGTATGTTTTGGTTAACAATATTATAGTATCACTTTGGCTGCTGTGTGGAGAATAAATTATAGGAGAGCAAGAATGCAAGCAGTGAATCTAAGGGAAGTATTGCAGAAGTTGAGCATAACAGTGTGGCTTAGTAGCACTTTCAGTGTGGCAACATTAAAGACGAAGACATTTGGACAGATATTGGATACATTTTGGAGGTAAAGGCAACTGGACTTGCAAATGATCGGATGTCAGGAACAGAGAAAGGAATGCTGAGATCATGACTAGATAACACGTTTGTGCAAAATGGCTGGTGCGTGATACCATTTACATGAGAAGACAGAAAGGAACAAGTTAAGGAGGGAATCAAAAGTTCTGTTTGGGTCTTTTTAAATTTAAGATGTGTATAGATATATCAAAGAAGAGATACACAGCAGTGATAAATATAATCTGGAGCTTATACGTAAGAAGAGAGAATGATCATGCCTAAATTTCAGAAGTCCCATGCTCTCTCTCTCCTTCCTTTCCTGCTTCCCTGCCTGGAATGCTCTTCCTCCCTTGGTTTCTCTACCTAACTCTTGTACACCAGAAAGTCTTCCCAAATCTCTGGTCTAAGTTAATGAATCTCTTCTTTTGCTCATATAGTGCCCTTTTTCAGAGATTTATCATCACATTGGTTATATCACACAGTTGTCTCTTTAAGTGTCTGTCTCTCCCACTAGAGACCTCTTCAGAAGAGGGAACCTTGAATTCCTAGACACCAGCACAGTGGCCGGCATGGAGGAATTCAATAAATGTTTGATGATGAATAAATGAATTATATTTTATTAGATTTACGTCCAGAGTGTCGACTGCCTAGATGGTGGTATATAAAGAGAAAGATTCAGGCAGAAATAAAGGTAGGCACATGATGATTGAAAACATTAAATCAAGCAGTGAAGCAGTTGGCTCACCACCATCTGAATCTGGGTTTCCCAAACATTAATGCAAATACAAATCACCTGGGGATCTCATTCCACCATAGATGCCCATTCAGGGAGTCTGGGGTGGGGCTCTAGATTCAGCATTTCCAGCAAGCTCCCAGGCGATGCTGATAGTGCTGGTTCTCTTGGGTCCTTGGGCTGGACTTTAGTAGTATATTGCTCCCTCCTCTCCACCCATCCCACATCCTGGTTGAGAATTACCATAATTAACAAGACCTGCAGTGACTAGTGGGAACAGTACAGTGAATATGAGTGGTGTGGCTATAGACACCGGACAAGGCCTGCCCTAGAAGAAAGCTTCAAACTGCACCACCCACTTTTCAACTCCACTGCTTAAAAAAAATGGCACAACCGGCTGGGCACGGTGGCTCACACTTGTAATCCCAGCACTTTGGGAAGCCAAGACAGGCAGATCATGAGACCAGGAGTTGAAGACCAGCCTGGCCAACATGGTGAAACCCTGTCTCTACTAAAAATACAAAAGTTAGCGGGGCATGGTGGCAGGCACCTATAATCCCAGCTACTCGGGAGGCTGAGGCAGGAGAATGGTTTGAACCTGGGAGGCAGAGGTTGCAGTGAGCCGAGACTGCACCATTGCACTCCAGCCTGGGTGATGGAGCAAGACTCCGTCTCAAAAAAAAAAAAAAAAGGCACAACCTGCAACACAGGGAGTGGATCCAAAGACTCACAATGGGCCAAGTGTTAGCAATAGAAATTTTAAAAAGACTTACATAAAATTCTGGTTTCTCATTCTTGTGGCTTCTTATAGCTTCAGCAACTCCAAGATTATAGGCAGCATTTTTCTGATTCTGTTCTCTAGTAGCCAGACTTTTCAGCTATATATATAAAAAAGTTTTAAATTAAATTTTTAATTACATATTGAAGTGGAGCCTTGAAAAATTTTAATTCTATTACATTAAAATAATCCAGCCATGGTAGAAACCTGCCTTTTGGAGGCAATGGTACTTTCTGATATCTCTATAGATTTATAAAAGTAGATTGGGAAAGGTATTTTATTTCCTATTCTTGGCCTTTAGGTACCACTCGAGGGATCTAAGGAATGGAAGAACTCATCACAAATGCAGGAAAGGGCAGTCAGTAGGGTCAATTATTAAACACCACATAAATCTGGATACAGCAAGTGTAAAAGTGCCTTTCTGTCTTTGCTTGAAATAAGACATGAATATGAAGGGTAAAAGCCTTCACCAGAGTTGTATTTTATCAGAAATAAAGAAACATAAATCCAATAATTTCACCTTTAAAATTCAGACCTTAGGTTAAAGAAAATCAGTGATATGTGCAAACATTCGACTACATGGATATTCATCTGATTGTTGTCTATTATTAGTGAAAACGTCAACACAAGTTTTAGTCTAACAGTAAATACATGATTAGATATGTCACACAGTACAGACATATGATGGAACATTTTTAAATTACATTATAAGCTGGGCTCAGTGGGTCATGCCTGTAATCCCAGCACTTTGGGAGGCAGAGGCAGGAGGAATGCTTGAACCCAGGAGTTGGAGACCACCCTGGACAACATGGTGCAACTCCATCTCTACAAAAAATACATAAATTAGCCAGGTGTAGTGACATGTGCCTGTAGTCCCAACTAATCTGGAGGCTGAGGTAGAAGGATCACCTGAGCCCAAGTAGGTTGAGGCTGCAGTGAGCGGAGGTTGTGCCACTGCATTTCAACCTGGGTGACAGAGTGAGACCCTGTGCCAATAAAAAATAATAATAAATTACATTATATAATCATGTTCTACTGCCCCATATTAAAGACTGATCAAGGTGTCGGACTACCTGGTGTCTGAAGAGAGCCTCCTGATCTTTCAACATCTGATACTGCTGTATGAGTCTCTCATCTTCTATCTCTCTCCTCCTTTCCTCACCGTAGTACAATGGGGAATTTCGTTGTGCTCGTTGCAAACATACATAGCACATTTCCTACAATCCCAAATTTCAGGACAAATAAGTTTTTACATTTTACCTTTTTGCTTTCACATTCCCTTCACAAGCTCTCCAAAGGCTAGGTATATCAAGAAACCTGTTATTAATGGGTATATTAGTGACAGCAAAATGAGATTTGCAGAGTGGACCCCAGAAATACTCTAAAGGATCTTCTGAACTTGCACTTCATCAGAAGTATTTATGAACTCACACTTCATCAGAAGCAGCTGAAACTTAGAAAGGGATTTCTCAATTCTTTTTTTGTTTACCAGTGCATCTTGACTAGTAGATAGATTTATCACAGTTCAGTTTTGAGCCTGAGTACTTAAGTACTTCAGCCATACTCATATAATTAAGCAAGAGATTCCCAGAACTCTCTTTGAGAAACAAAAATCAGTATAAGATTTTGATGGGGCTTATTTGTTTGGAAACACTGTACCTGTCCTGCCTTATCATGATCCTGACAAGCTGGAGATGTTTGGGGCTTCATGTCACTGTCATGTTTCAGACAACTTGGAGATGATAAGCTGTAAAAACAATGCATCATTAATTAATGTTTAATACAGTCTGACCTCAAGAGCAATAATAATTATAGAGGCCAAGTATAAGATGAAGAAAAATATCTCAGTGGTTTAGTTCAGAACAGCTGTATGTGTAGAGGTTAAGAATATGTACCACAGAATCTGAATTTGTGTCAGATAAAGGTGGGTTTGAATCCCAGCTTTCTTGCTTACAAGATGACTGACATCAGACTAGCTGTGTAATCTTACAAAATCGCAGTTACCAATTGTGTGAAATGGTGATGAAATTTATTCATTCCACAGAAATGTATTGAGTGCTTACCATGTACACTGCTCTAAGCACAGGAGAAGCAATGAAGAACAAAATACACACATAGAAAAGTCCCTGTCCTCATGGAATTAACATTCTGATGGAGATAGAGAGCCCAGTGACAAGATAAATAAGTGAACTCTATAGTATGTTCCATGATGATAAATGCCTTGCAATGCTGGAGGAATGGAGTGTTAAACTGTAAAGAGAATGGCCAGGAAGTTCTTACCAAGGAAGTGACATATGAGTAAATACCTGAAGGAAGTAAGGGAACAACGGTGTAGGTATCTGATGGAAAAGACATTCCAAGCAAACAAACCAGTGCAGTCCTTCAGTTGGAAGGTGTCTGTGGTCATTGTGGTAGAGGAACATGAATTAGGGGTATTAATATTAATACTAGTATTCATTAGAAAATAGGACTGATATTACCACTTAAAAAGCAGCTCAAAGAATGAAAATATTTATTTTTTAACTTTATTTATTTTATTTTAATTTTTGAGACAGAGTCTCGCTCTGTCACCCAGGCTGAAGTACAATGGCGCGATCTCAGCTCACTGCAAACTCTGCCTCCCAAGTTCAAGCGATTCTCCTGCCTCAGCCTCTGGAGTAGCTGGGATTACAGGTGCATACCACCACACTCACCTAATTTTTGTATTTTTAGTAGACACGGGGCTTCACCATGTTGGTCAGACTGGTCTCGGACTCCTGACCTCATAGTCTGCCCACCTTGGCCTCCCAAAGTGCTGGTATTACAGGCGTGAGCCACCTCGCCAGGCCAAGAATGAAACCATTTAAAAGTAGAGAAATAGAGAACAGATTCAGACGCTCAAACATGCATTGAATAGGAGTGCTGAATTTTTAGGATAAAGGAAATGGCAAAGAACAATATTCTAGAAAATAATAGATAAGAATTTTCCAGAAAGTCATGACTCCTAAGACCAGTCATGCAGAACATCAAGAAATAAGAAAAATTCTTAAAAGCTACAAGAAAGAATGACAACCAGATTGACTCAGACGTTGCATCAGGACAACTGTCAGGAGAAAATGAAGCAATATCATTAAAATGCTAAAGGAAAGTAACTGTGAACCAAGAATCAGCATTCAAGAGCGATAACACAGTAAGAATCATTTTAAGCAATACAAAGAAGAAGTGTACTGAAAAGACAGGGAACCATTACAGGATATACTTTTTCAAGAAGAAAAACGAACCCAGGAGGAAGGACAGGGATATAAGAAACAGGCCAGGCGTGGTGGCCCACGCCTGTAATCCCAGCACTTTGGGAGGCCACGGCAGGAGGATCACTTGAGGTCAGGAGCTCGAGACCAGCTTGGCCAACATGGTGAAACCCTGTCTCTACTAAAAATACAAAAATAACGAGACATGGTGGTGCACGCCTGTAATCCAACTACTCAGGAGGCTGAGGCAGGAGAATTGGTTGAGTGCGGGAGGCAGAGGTTGCAGTGAGCCAAGATCGCGCCACTGTGCTCCAGCCTGGGAAGAAAAATAAAAAGGAAGAAAAAAAAAGAAAAAGAAAAAAAAGGAAATGATGGTGACCAAAGAAATTGGTAAACATGTTGGCAAATCCAAACTAATCATTGACCATAAAATAATACAAATTTTTTAACACTTAAAACTAATTTGGAACAAAAGTTCTAGACAACAAAAATACAGGTTTGGAAGGGGATGCAGTTTGAAGGAAATTGAAAGCATACTGAAGAAATGTGGTCAAAGGAAATTCAAAGCATACTAAAGAAATGTGATCAGTCCAACAGAAAAAGGGTAATAATGAAGTTAAATGCACAGTAAATAGAAAATACAAAATAAGACAGTAAAGATAGGTTCAAATATACCAATAATTACAACTGAAATTAAAGTCTAGATTGAGTTTTAAAACATCCAAATATAAGCTATTTAGTAGAGACACACATGAAATAATAAAACACACACAAAAATTCTTAAAATGGCATTAAAAGGCTATTCCAGGTAAAATACTAATCCAATGTTGCATTGTTAATTATGTACTACAGAAATGAAGGCAAAAGATTTTAGTAGAGACAAAGGAAAATATTTCATAATGATAAAAGGAACTATCTACCAAAAAATCGGACGTGTAGAATTTAATATTGCTTAAGAAGCAAAAATTGACATAATTACTGAAAAATATACCATCATGGTTAAAGATTTTTAATCTCTCTCTCAAAAAAAAAGTAAGGATTTTAAAGCTTTTAATAACTTATTTTAACAAGGTTTAGCTAATATCTAAATATCTAGAAATTTACGTCTAAGGAATAGTAGTATACAGTGTCTTCAAGTATACATAAAACAATTACCGTAAAAGTATTCAAGCTAGAAAAGAAGGTTCAGCAAATTACAAAGTACCAAATAACTGACACTAAATGAACCACAGCATAAAATGAGAAAGTGCCCCTACTAAAAACCTCTATTCATTTGGAAAAAGTAATAAAACTTGAGTCTTCTGAATAACCAATGAATTAAGTATTGTATAAGTCTATACTCCCTTACTGCAATTCCAAAATGCAAATGCTCGACTCTGACCTCACTTGTCGTGTTTTCTAATTTCTTATAACTTGTTCATGCTTTCCATTCTTTTAATTCATGTAAAGATTTTAAACATCTTATTCTATATTCTGTATTTTATAATGGTCAGGATGCAAAATCCTTGAGAGCTCAATTCTTCCATCTTTTGTTTCTGATGGCTCTCATTATGTGGCAGCTTATTTCCACGTGGTCTTTATAATTTTGGATTCTGACCTCATTTTTAGCCCAACTCTATCTGTCAGAAGTCAGGAGCCTGAGATGAAAATAAGATCCTTTGGAGCAGGGGTTGGCAAACTTTTTATGAAAAGGGCCAGAGAGTGAATATTTTAGGCTTTGAGGGCCACACAGTCCCTGACGCAAGTAGCAGGTGCAGATAATATGCAAATGGAGGGGCATAGCAGTGTTTCGGTGAAACTATTTATAAAAACATGTGGTGTACTAGATTTGGCTCTCAGTAGAGGACCTTTTCAGATTATTTAGAACACCATATTACTAGATGCAGAACCCTTTATTTTTTAATAACTTCTCTTAGGCCTCAAAATCTGGGGTTGGGCGAATGCTGAGTCCCTAAAAGTTTGATTTAAATAACCTGTCAGATGCAGCTGACATGAGGAAGCAATAAGAAATATGTCTCAATCTGGATTCTTACGATCCAAGACAATTCACTTGTATTTTTTTTAATCCTCTAACTTGGAGTGAAAATTTTACAGAATCACTAACCACTACATGCCCTTCAGCACCAGCCAAATTTGCACTTCCTATAGTAGTCACTATTTTGAATAATGCCATCTTCTCCCAGTTACCTAAGCCAAAATCTGGGGTCATCTTTGACATCTCCTCCTTAACCTCCCTTAACTAATCCCCAACAGTCAAAGCTAAAGCTTTCCGTCTGATCTTTGTTTCATACCCTTATTACCTTTCCCTAGATGAGTTATACTCAACTGTTAAACAATGAAAGTACTATCCTTCTTAGTTTAAACAAATCTTACTCAAACCCCAATATATAAAACAGAAAAGCAGCACACATCCTCCAGTGGAAGTGAGGACATAGAGCCCAGAGTCCCACCCATATGACCTCACTCTCAGTTTCTGATGTGCTCTTAAGGCCCTCTGAGGCCTTAGGGTCATTTGTTGGAAACAGATTGCCTAGACTACTGCCTTGATCTGCTAAATTGTGCTACACTTTTCCATTTTATTACACCTCTTCCCCTGCTGCTAATCTTATCCCTCTAGATCATTCTTTACTCTTCTAAAAGAATATTTTTCTTCAAAATGAAAATGTAATTATGGACTGACATTCCTAAACATGGTGTTTGGGGACTTGGACAGGTTGGTAGATTAGAAAAGATATATTTTAAACTTCTGTACACTAAATGGTGCAGAAACAAAATTAAAAAGAAAAAAAGAATTAGGAAAATGTTTAAAACATACACATCAGAAAACTATGCATACCTATGATATATGAAGTTCTCTTTATAGGAAATACAACTTGTTTTTAAGAAAAATTAAAGCTCCCAGCTGAAAAAGGACACAGGATTCAAGCAGGAAATTTGTAAAAGAACTACAAATGGCTAAGAAACAAGGTAAAAATATATGCAGGCCAGGTGTGGTGGCTCACGCCTGTAATCCCAGCACTTTGAGAGACCTAAGTGGGAGAATTGCTTGAGGCCCGGAGTTCTAGACCAGCCTACACAACATACTAAGACCCCATCTCTTCAAAAAAAAAAAAAAAATCAAAAAAATTAGCTGGTGTGGTGGTGTACACCTATAGTCCCAGCTACTTGGGGGTCTGAGGCAGTAAAATCACTTGAGCCCAGCAGGTTGAGCTGCAGTGAGCCATGATCATGCCACTGTTCTTTAGCCTTGGTGACAGAGTGAGATGCTGTCTCAAAAACAAAACAAGAAAAAACCCACTAGAAGTCAAACAAACACAGGTTAAAAACAATAATGAATACCATCATTTCACTTTGCTAAAGTATTAGCAAAACTGTAGAAAAGATAGCACTCTGTCATGTGTCATATTACTGTTGCTGAGAGGATAATTTGCTACAATCATGAAGAAGATAATTGGCAATGTGTATCAAAGGCATGAAAATGGACTCACCTCTTATCTCTGAAATTTAAAGTTTTTATCCTATGGAATATCCAGATGTATGCAAGGAATTATGTTTAATTATATTTTCACAACATTATTTATAGTACTTAAAAACTGGAAGCCATCTAAATATCCAATAGCAGATTGGTTAAACAAAAGGTTTAATCTTTCATTAAGATGATGTGCAATTATTTGTTAAGGTTTTGGAATATTTAATATCATGGGGAAATCACCACTTATTAAATGTAACAAAAATTCATATAATATGATCTAATTTTATTTAAAAAGTATGTATATTCCAAGTGTAAGTATCTGTATATATTGTATATGCATTGAAATAAACGACATGTACCATAAGGTTAATACAAAGTTTCCTCTATGTAGAGGGATTATGGGTGATTTTTTGTAACTCTTGCTTTTTTGGTTTCCTCAAAATTTCTATGATAAACATGTATTGTTTTAGTAATCGCACAAAAAATATTTTTTGGTTAACTTTTTTTTTTTTTTTTTTGAGACGGAGTCTTGCTCTGTCGCCCAGGCTGGAGTGCAGTGGCGCAGTCTCGGCTCACTGCAAGCTCTGCCTCCCAGGTTCACGCCATTCTCCTGCCTCAGCCTCCCAAGTAGCTGGGAATACAGGTGCCCGCCACCACACCCAACTAATTTTTTGTATTTTTAGTAGAGAGGGGGTTTCACCGTATTAGCCAGGATGGTCTCGATCTCCTGACCTCGTGATCCACCCGCCTCGGCCTCCCATAGTGCTGAGATTACAGGCATGAGCCACTGCACCTGGCCTATTTTTTGGTTAACTTCTACAGGAAACAAACATTTTTGGGTCAACTTCTATAGGAAACCTTTACCAACAACTTCCAACAATTACTCTCTCCTTTTGCAGCCTCTATACTTTTGTTATCTTCATCGCATGCACTGTTTTTTTAATTTCAGTCTTCCTACAAGACTGTAAGTTTTATAAAAGCAGGTTAATATGTCTGTAACTGAATCTTCAGTGCCTAGAATAGTACCTGGCACATGGTAATACTCAATGTTTGTTGTATTGAATTAAAGGACTATACATCTAATTCTCAATTATCTTTCATAACAGTGATATTATCCAAAACAAGCATTTCTAGAGTTTTAAACATGACTTTAGTAATCCACAAAGTACATAAATTGCACATATGATAGCTGATAAATTTTGACACATTAATAAATTAAAGGTTGGTGGCACAATGCAAAGTACATAGGTGCTCAGTAAACAATGAATGAGCATGGTTAAATATGGTTGACTGATTTGAGGTCTTAAAAAGTATCCTACTCAAAGAGACAAGGATAAAATATTATAGAAATCTTTTGACATACCATCACAAGAAGAAAACGACCATGATAAATTGTAATACACTCATTCATTCAAGTAATGTTTATTGAGAACTAATGGAGTGCCGGCTATGTTTGGCAAAACTACTTTCCAATTTGATGTAAATATAACACTGTGTCACATCATAATACCCAAGCACTCAGAAAACAGGAAAGTTTTGTAGATTTGGGAAGCCCAAATCTACAAAATACTCTGTGCTATTTTGTTTCCGCCTGTGTCATAACATATATTCTTCTGAATCATAATTTATCCCTCTGCATATGTCTGACTTCCCCACTAGATGGTGAGCCTTGGTCACCTTTATTATTCCCATCATGTTGCATGTAGAAAGCTGTCAAGAACACTAGATAAATAAATTAATGAACAATTACAGTTCCCTGCATCAAGCAATGACTCAAAAATTAGTAAAGTGCAACAGAAAAAAAAAAAAAGTCAGTGCATTACCTTTCAGAGGTCATAATCTTCTCACCACTCTCACTTCGGTCCTTTTCCAGCAAGCTGACATTTGTCACTTTGGCAGGGAACAAAGCTTGTCTATCTCGAAGTCTCTTGGGTGATGAGATATCTGTAGAATAAAGAATGAATGAAGACGAGTTTCCTTTCAACTCTCAAACCACTAACTGTGTAGTTTTTACCAAGGGAAATTTCATATAAGATACACTCTCTTATCTTTAAATAGTCACCCCTTGTTCTATTGTGATGTAAAAAAATGTTTTTGCTGTTTATTTGCAAAGAAAGCACTGTGCTAAGTATTTAGAGGACAAAAAGGGGCAACTAACATAAATGCAAGAAATGGGCTGGATATAACACGACCAGGAGACATGTTAGTTTAGTTAACATTTCTTATGAAAAATGAACAGTGGCAGTTTTACAACTTTGATATCTGTAGATTTAGACATTTTGCCTGTAAAGATCTTTCAGTAGATATGGTTGAAGAGAAAAATAAGATATAAACAAAAAAGTGAGAGCTTCCATTTGGAGGTCATCTTATGTGCTAACAGTGCTAAGTGCTTTGTAATACACATTTACTAAATAACAACTTGGGACAACGATGCAAAATGTATAAGTCAAAAATAAATGTTACCATCTTTTTTTTTTTTTTTTTTTGAGATGGAGTCTTACTCTGTCACCAGGCTGGAATGCAGTAACCCAATCTCAGCTCATTGTAACTTCTGCCTCCCAGGTTCAAGCAATTCTCCCATCTCAGCCTCCTGAGTAGCTGGGATAACAGGTGCATGCCACTACTCCCAACTAACTTTTTTTTTTAACTTTTTATTTTTTTTTTAATTTGTAGTAGAGACGGGGTTTCGCCATGTTGGCCAGGCTGGCTTCAAACTCCTGATCTCAGGTAATCCACCCACCTCAGCCTGCCAAAGTGCTAGGATTACAGGCGTGAGCCACTGTGCCCAGCCAAATGTTGTAGTCTTTAAGGATCTGACATGTTCAGAGGAGAGAAGCCACTCCAGAATTCAGTGGTAAGTTTTCCTGGAGGAAGTGAGATGTGAAAAGGGTACTAAAAGGTGAGTAGGATGGAGATAGATTGAAATAAAAGGAAGGACAGTTCAGGCTGCAGGAAAGAAAAATGAACAAAAGATGAAATTGGGGAAGGGCAGGCATGTTAGAAGAGCATGAATAGGCCAAGCATAGTGGCTCACGCCTGTAATCCCAGCACTTTGGGAGGCCAAGGTGGGCAGATCATTTGAGCTCAGGATTCAAAACCAGCCTAGGCAACATGGCAAAACCCTGTCTCTACAAAAAGTACAAAAATTAGCCAGGCATGGTGGTGCACACCTGTGGTCCTAGCTACTCAAGAGGCTGAAGTGGGAGGATCACCTGAGCCCAGGAGGTTGAGGCTGCAGTGAGCCAAGACTGTGTCACTGCACTCCTCCCTGGGTGACAGAGCAAGACCCCACCTCAAAGAAAAAAAAAGAACATGAATAGATAATTTTGCCCAAAGAAGGGGTCTATGTAGGGCACAGTGGGGGATGAGTCTATAGAAATGAGAAAGCATGTGAATATTAGGCTAGAAGTTGATATGCAATCCTGTAGGCCACACATAGAAAACAGACATCCACAAGCCAGTGTTCACCCATTGGTATGTTTTGTTAGGCCTAATTAGCATTTTTTGTTTCAACGAAAGTCAACATTTAACAACCAATAGATTTCACATTAAAGTCAGGATCTCTGATTCTTTTGAAAAATCAGAAGATTGTGCTCACTTTGGTAGCACATATACTAAAATTAGAAAAATTAGAAGATTTGATACCACTTGGGCCACATTTCCACAAAGCAACAATCTGCTAGAGGAACAGTCCTCAAAGTGTGGCCTGGCAAGCCATACTTTTTGGGGTCCCTAGGACCCTTTGAAAATGTCTGTGGCTGTGTTTGGTGGCTCCCACCTGTAATCGTAGCACTCTGGGAGGCCAAGGCAGGCAGATCACCTGAGGTCAAGAGTTTGAGACCAGCCTGGCCAATATGGTGAAACCCCATCTATACTAAAAATACAAAAATTAGCTGGGCGTGGTGGCGCACACCTTTAGTCCCAGCTACTTAGTGGGAGGATGATGCAGGAGAATCGCTTGAACCCAGGAGGCGGAGGTTGCAGTGAGCCCAGATTGTGCCACTGAACTCCAGCCTGGGTGACAGAGCGAGACTCCATCTCAAAAAGAAAATAAAAAGTCTTTGGTTAAAAAAAACAAAAAATCTTTGGAGTCCTAGGATGTTCTTCATTTGCTTCCACCAAAACAACTATCACAACAGATTAGTGCAGACATAGGTATGAGAATCCAGCTTTTTTCTACAAACATCAGAGTGATAAAACTGCCACTCTTCGTTTTTCATAAGAAATGTTAAGTAAGCTAACGTGTCTCCAACCCACTTATATCCACATCACTTCCTGCATTTGCGTTACCTGCCTGGACCCTATAGTCATCTGAGTTTTGGCCCCTTTGAGCAATGGGGAGCCAGCAAAGAGATGATGATCTAAGAGCCTGAGAGTCATAGGACCTGAGGTCCATAAAGTAAGTAAGCTCATAGTTAAGGTCAGATGCAGGATTCTAGGACTAGAATGTATTTGTTAGAAATAATATAGTGATTATTTGTGGCTGGGTGCAGTGGTTCACGCCTGTAATCCCAGCACTTTGGATGGCCTAGATGGGCAGATCACTTCAGGTCAGGAGTTCAAGACCGGCCTCGCCAATATGGTGAAACCTCATCTATACAAAAGCTAAAAAAATTCGCCAGGCATAGTGGCACATGACATTAATCCCAGCTACTCGAGAGGCTGAGGCAGGAGAGTCGCTTGAACCTGGGAGGTGAAAGTTGCAGTGAGCTGAGATTATGCCACCGTACTCCAGCCTGGGCAACAGTGAGACTCCATCTCAAAGAAAAAAAAAGTAATAATAATGATAATATAGTGATTATTTGTAAATTTAACTTTATTTACCTTCGGCTAAGCAATATGACTGGGCTCATAGCAGTAAAGAGTGACAGATTGTATCCAAAAATCACTGGCCTACCTCTGATGCCTTCTTCTTTGTCTGACTGGTCTTTTAACTTGTACTTCCTTTCTCTATTCTCTCCACATTCTTCTACAAGGGTCTCCATAGGCAGTTTGTTTTCCGTCTCCTTGAGCTCAATCCTAGGAATGAGCCAATATGTTTTTCTGCTGCACTGAACCTGAACAGGTGACTGTGTGAACTTTCAAGTCTTGGAAGCAACCCAGCCATCTGGCTGATTCTGAAATAAGCCCACTTTCTTCAAGGAGTGACTGCTCTGATGTGCTGGGTACATATCATAGATTAATTTTTTCTAAAGTTTTCTGGGACCTGACTAAGACCTTCCCCTCTATACCATAGTCTCAAAAGCAGCTTGCATATAGAGAAATTGCCTTAAAGTCCTTTATTTAGGTTATTGGGTTTTGTTTCCATTTGAATTTTTATATCCTAGTTCTATAACTAGATGATCTGGGGTGATACAGTGAGAAAAGGTTGTTGGATAGCTTGAAGGCAAAAGATTCATAGCCTGGTAGAGTATGCCCCAAAATAACCATTTGTCTCCTCCCTCCTTTGCCACTTCTCCCCAGGCAAAAGTGAAGGACTTGCACAGGTACAATTTGCAGCAGGGAGGAAGGGGGTTGTTCAGTTGGTGTGTGTAGTTGTAGGATTTCTTTAATCTCAGGTATGGAGTACTAGGTTGGAGTAGGGAGTGGGGGTGGGGGTACCTTCAGTCAATTCAGGGGCCAAATGTCACATAAATAAAACATGAACAGTTGTTTTGAGTATTTAAGTCCCCTTGTCCATTTCTAGGCCCTTGACTTGATGGAGCCTCCATCTCTGTTCTTTGACCCACTACAATTATTTCCCTCCTGGAGTGCCTAAGCCAAAATATGTCAAAGGGAACAGCCACATTTGCCCTCCAAAACAATCAAAATTATTTTCAAACTGCTGATTTATTTTTAGTGTAAGGCAATATGGTGCAATGGAAAGAACACTGGACCAGGAGCCATGGTCTTATTTCTATAAGCTTGGCTGCTTATTAGTTGCATGGCCATTTCATGTGCAAGATGAGACGGCTGGAAAACAACCTCTAAGACTTACTCTTGACTTCACACTCAATCTTCTGAGGTATTTGTCAAACAGCTCTTCCAGGAGGGGGTTGTTCCAAAGCAACAAGCACAAGAGAATGTCACACTCAAAACATCTGAGAAATTCTCATACTTTTATACTGTACTCATACTTCCTAAAGTAAGAATGCTTTAGGAAGCTAGTTGTTATTCCCCAAACTTCCTCCACCTGAAATGCACAGTGGTTAATGGCACAGCAATTAAGATTATTAACATAATTAAGGGCACAATGAATAAGTGATGGCCAAACTGGAAATAAAACTGAAGTCTCCTGACTCCTACTCCAGTGTTCTCAATAGTGCACCATGTTGCTTCATTCATGTAAAAGAAAAAAATTAAAATTAATTTTGTATCGTGATAAAATGGAGAATTATAATACATATGTCACATGAATGTCGTGAAGATTAAATGAAGTAATATGCAACCACCAGTAACAACCACTGTGCTCATGGAGTAAAGCTGTTTCCTTATTCTAACTTACCTGTTTAACCCGTTTAGTGGTAAAAATCCGAGCTCTGACAGGAAATGGGCTGAACTGAAGGAAGAAGCAGCAGCTAGGGCAGAAGAAGTGCTACAAAGTAGAGGAAAGCTCAGCAGGTGAGAAGAGTTTTACTAATACTGCAGGGACTAAAGTTGATGGAAGGTAGTATCAGAATTTCCAGGAGCCAAGGGTAGTTTTATAAATGGGCTGTTGGGCAAGGTGGCTCACGCCTGTAATCCCAGCACTTTGGGAGGTCGAGGCGGATGGATCACTTGAGATCAGGAGTTTGAGACCAGCCTGGCCAATATGGTGAAACCCCATCTCTACTAAAAGTACAAAAATTAGCCAGGCGTGGTGTCGTGCACCTGTAATCTCAGCAATCTCAGCTACTCGAAAGGCTGAGACAGGAGAGAATTGCTTGAACCCAGGAGACAGAGGTTTCAGTGAGCAGAGATCGTGCCACTGCACTCCAGCCTGGGTGACACAGCAATACTCCGTCTCTGAGGGAGGATAAAAAAGAATAAATATCCATTGTTATTTAACTTAACTACAGAAAGTGCATGCAATAAACTCTTCTTTGTTGGTGCATTTAGAGAGGGAGAGACAGAGAATACATTAAAAGGAGCATGAGCTACAAAACATTGAGAAATACCACCCAATGAGATCAGCAGATCAGCAACGAGTGCTAGTGCCTGGAGGAAGCCATGAAGCAAAGCACTTACCTTGGAAACGCAAGCACACTGCTGGGCCACTTCCTCAAGGCCTCTCTGCTGGACAACACCGAGTCCACAGTGCCAGGCCTCTAGAGGACAGTGACAGAGCAAGGTTACATATAGGCTGCCGGCCAGGACTCAGACAAATTAAAAACTGCAGGCTGTCTCATAGGCAAGGCTACCACAATACTTTTCTTGTTGTTTATGTTTAGCGCTTAAAAGTCCAGAGCTTAAAAATCCAATGAGGAATGATCTCATTCATCAAAGTAATCACCCTGGGTAACTGCACAGCAATTATTTTGGGGTTGCCTTTTCTCAAACCATTTCCTTTTTGGGAATTGCCTTCAGGGTTGACAGATTCTTTTAGATATCTTTAAGAAGATAGCAGACTTCGTAAAAATACATGGAAAGTGAGCAAGCTGTCTAATTCCGCTCTTGACCCAAATAACTAAAATTAGGCAATTAAGAGAAAAGCTTTCGAGTCAGGTGGGCTCATGTTCAAATCCCCACACTGCTAACAGGTATGTGGACTTAGGCACTAGGTTTCTGGGGATAATAAAAGGATCTAATAGCACTTCCATGAGTTCCTCTGTGTAAGTAGCTAGCCCATAGTAAATACTGAACAAATGGCTATTTTAATTCTCATATAACTATAAACATAATAGTCACATTGTCACATTTTTACTGTAGAACAATACATAAAATGATTATTTTTGCATGAGTACTACCCCTTACAAAAGCCTTTGAAGGGAATTCTCACAAAGAAGTATAGAAAATATTTCTAATAAAAGCAGCATCACTGAAATAAGCACACAGATTTCCAAGGGGACTACTCTACAAGATGTTTTAAGTTACAGGTCATTTGGGAATAAACTCTCACTGACACCACTTTACAGCAGTTTTCCAAAATGTGTCCTACAGAGCTAATGAGATATTGGATTAACGTAGAATTCCATGATTAAATACATCCAGGCAGTTAAACTGACTGCTTTCCAGCCAGACTTCTCAGCTCCTTTAACATGCTGATGTGCTCTGTCCCTCTGTCCATGAGGGCTATTGATTCAATCAGCAGTTTTCAGTCAGCTTTGACCTCCAAACCCTTTTTTCAGAGTATCTCTCAGGACTAGTTCTTTTGGAAAATTTCCATTCTTTAAAAGATGTGCGTTAGAGTTCAGCAGGTCAAGGAAAATGCTATCTTCTCTTTTAAACACATAGTGAAGCTACAAAGTTCTGCAGAATCCCTGAGGGTTAGAGATGAGCTAGCCACTTTGGCCTTGCTTATAGACTTGTAAACCTTGCCTTGCATTTTCATGGAAAAGCAAGCGTTTTTCCTGCATTTATTTCCCACTTTCCACACACAGGGTTGGCAGTCCTTTTAGCAATCCTGTATGAAACCAGATTGTGTAAAAAAACCCCAGGAGTTTCATTATGCACAATTCCATTTCATAAATCCCTATCCCAAAGCTTCATAAAAGGAGAAATGGGTAGACCAAGGTGATACAATAGCCTTTTCATTAAAAAAAGAAGGGTTTGGCTTTATGGGATATAGGATTATATAACATTCCATAATAATTCAATTCATTCATGTCTACTTTGTTAGTTCCCAGAGGAGTACCTGAGGCACACTAAGTATTCAATAAATCCTGTAGATTGACTATGTCATTTGTTTAAACTGCTGTATCCAGCTTAGCATGAAGGTCACACCAGCTACTTAATGGTTGACAATAATGATGCCAATTAGGAAATTTCTTCTACAACATGCCATATTAAAAGCTAAAGATTCAAAAACTCCATGACTCAAATTAAATTTTGTTACAGACTTTCATTAAAATAAAATAGTCGAACCAACATTAAAAAAGTAAAATAGTAGAACTAGCAAAAACTGAGTGGTTAGGAAGTCTGGGCTTGAATTCCAGTTCTAGTTCACCTTGGGATTCCCACATAGCCTCTCTGAGCCCCTACTTTTCTCACTTGTAAAATTAGGATGATAATAATGCTGCTTGTATATTTCGAGACTCAAATGAAATAATACATGTGGAAGAAGTTTTTAAACTATAGGCCGGGCACGGAGGCTCATGCCTGTAATCTCAGCACTTTGGGAGGTCAGGGCGGGCAGATCACTTGAGACCAGGAGTTTAAGACCATCCTGGCCAACATGGTGAAACTCCATCTCTACTGAAAATACAAAAATTAGCTGGGCATGGTGGCGCGCACCTGTAATTCCAGGTACTGAGAGGCTGAGGCAGGAGAATCACTCAAACCCAGGAGATGGAGGTTGCAGTGAGCCAACATCGTGCCACTGCACTCCAACCTGGGTGATGGAGTGAGACTCTGTCTCAAAAAACGAACAAACAAAAAACCTATAAGATACTATAAAATGTTCAGAATTTGAAGAGTTTCCATTACTATTTATATCCCTCAGTTGACTTTGACTCTTAATGTTCGTTTGCCTTCCTAATCTTTTTGTCAAAGAGTTAATCAAGTATAAACAAGCACTTCCATGTGCTTCAGGTAACTGTCACCCAAATATGTCAATCTTCATTTTTCTTAATTACAACACACCTATAGATAAATCAGAACTACAATTAGGAGAAGACTTAGGAGAAGGAAAATATTAATTTACGTTTGCTAGGGCCTTTGCCAAAGCCCCACTTTCATCCATGGTACAAAGGAAGTCTTTATAAAACCTCATCTTCACTTTGTTGTCTCTGATCATGAGGACCCCAATTCCTTTGAATGTAAACTCCACGTTTTGTTTCATGGAAATGGATCGCGATAAAAAAAGCAACGTCTCCTTCACACATCCTTCCACTACATCTCTGTTAAATGGACCCTCCAGGGATATCATGACAAAATTAAGTGGAACAATTGGGATATCACCTAGAGGAGAAAAGACAGTTGGGGTGGGAGAAAGTGGTGATTACGATAAGGATATATACACACTCACAAATAATTATCTGATTCTCAATACCCTAAAATAGAACTTTCTGGATGAAGCCTTTAGTTGTACCCAATGTAATAATATTACTGCAGACAATTAAGTAGTTACTAACATATTAATCAGTACAATTTTCCTAAAGTATTTCTCTCAAAGTGTTCTCTAAAAGTGTAAGTTCAGTGCTCAAAATAAGAACAGTTAGCTTTCTAAATAACACTGTAGACAAGCTTTTGATTTTCTCTAGGACACATATAATAACTAATTCTCTTCCTCAGAGGGTTTCCTAACGTTTTCATCCCCCTTATATTTTAGGACATACTGGAGCAATATTTGCTGATATGGTTTGGATCTGTGTCCCCACCCAAATCTCATGTTGAATTGTATTCCCCAATGTTGGAGGTGGGGCCTATTGGGAGGTGATTGGATCATGGGGGTGGATCCTTAATGTATGGTTTAACACCATTCCCCTGGGTGCTGTCCTCATGATAGTGAGTGAGCTGTCATGAAATCTGGTTGTTTGAAAGTGTATAGCACCTCTCTCCATTCTCCCTTTTACTCCTGCTCCAGCCTTGTAAGACATGACTGGTTCCCCTTTGCCTTCCACCATGATTGTAAGTTTCCTGAGGCCTCCCCAGCCATACTTCTGTACAGCCTGTAGAACCATGGGCCAATTAAACCTCTTTTCTTTATAAATTACTCAGTCTCAGGTATTTCTTTATAGCAGTACAAGAATTAACTGATATATTTGCCTATCTCCTCCAGTTATGCCATTTTTACATGATTACAAATACCTACAAGTGTTAAATATTTTGAAAAGAGAACCATCTTCCCTAGAAGTTATCATTTAAATGAAATAGGGTCTTATACAAGGGTATCAGACTGAATGACTCACAGAAAGCTTTTCCTCTCTAACGAGCCCATATATGACATTTCAGAGGAATATGATTATATCTAGCTTGAAGGAAGCACAGGATCTATTCAACTGGAACAGATGTAGGAGTAATATGAGGTTCACAAGTCATAAAAAGGGTAAATAGCATAGAGAATAAAGATGACAAAGCCAAAGAGAGACAACAACAAGCTTCACTGATAAATAGGACATAGATAAGATAAGAATATTCTAAGGATTCACTCAGTAAGCATGAGTTATATGCTTTCAAATGTCCACCACTGCTGAACGATGAAAATTAATAAGACATGAGCGTCACTGTATCAGCCTGCCGTCTCCTGCACAATTTAACAGTAATTCCAACCACCTCCCTCCATTTTTAAAAAAATATACATTTCTTAAAAAGAAGGCTGTCTTACCTGCCTCCGGATTTTCCCCTCCCATTTGTCTGCTGCCTCTCTGCAATCTGTCTTTCAGACCACTCGTCTGAGTCAGGACACTGTCATCTCATGATTGCCAAGTCAATGGATACTTTGCAAATATTATTTCTCATGACCTCCCTATAACTTCTGCCAGCCATGCCCTTTCTTTTCCTTGTATACATGATACCACTCTTGGTTCTCCAATTTCGTCCTCCTTGGCCCCCTTTGCTGGCTTTCCTCCTCTTCTACTTCTTATAAGATACTGAGATTTACTTGTTTCATAGGATTTTGTCCTTGTTTATCTCTTCTGCTGAGTGGGTATCCTCTCCGAGGTAAACATCCAAATCTTGATCTCTAGTCTCCACCCCTCTCCTAAGCTCTGGAATCACCTCTACCTAAATATCCCCACATGTATCTCAAATTCAGCACGTGCAAAAGCAAATTCACTATTTTATCCACCACCAAAATCCACCTTTCCCTTTCATTCTGTACAAAGGTAGTTGATAGCATGAGCATCCATCTGTTCTCCAACCAAAAAATCTGAGTCATACTAAACGCCTTCCTTCCTCTTCCTACCTGCCACTCTCAACTTAAGCCATACCAGTTCTACATCTGAAATGTCTCAAGAGTAATGTCTCATGAGTAGATACCCTCACTTCCCCTCCTGATGATCACTGTCTTCATTCAGGCTTTTACTGCATTTTACCAAACTACTGTAACTGAAAAGAGTATCTTTCTAAACTAATCCTATCTGTACAGATAATTCCCTGCTCAAAAACTTTCAATGGCTCCTCAGTGCCTACAGGATGAATTATAAAGTCCTATCACACCATATAAGGCCCCTCACAATTGGCCCCTACCTACCATTTTCATCTTATCTTCCTCTGCCTGCCTTCACAATCATATGCCTCAGCCGTACAGAAGTACCTGTTACTTCCTTAACAGGCTTCATTCTTTCCTATATTCTTGACTTGTTCATATTGTTCCTGAAATACCTTCCAACAGATTCTCTGCTCACAGAGTCCTATCATCCTTTAAGACGTCTTTACATGTCATCTTCCTAAAGCAGAGTTAGGCATACTCTCCTCTGAGCGTCATAGCATTTGATCCAGTTCTGATCAATTCAGCTTTTATAGCACTTAATCATGTTTCATCATTTCTTCTTTTTTCTTTTTTTTAAGACTCTGTCACCAGGCTGGAGTGCAGTGGTGTGATCTCAGCTCATTGCAACCTCTGCCTCCCGGTTCAAGCAATTCTCCTGCCTCAGCTTCCTGAGTAGCTGCGACTACAGGCACATGCCACCACGCCCAGCTTGTTTTTTGTATTTTTAGTAGTGATGGAGTTTCACCATGTTGGCCAGGATGGTCTTGATCTCTTGACCTTGTGATGTGCCTGACTCGGCCTTCCAAATTGCTGGGATTACAGGCATGAGCCACTGCACCCAGCCCATTTCTTGTATATTAATTATCTATACTAGATTCAAAAGAACTATGTCTTACTCATATTTAAAAACCCCTATAAAATGTTTGCTTAGTTACTGATACGGTCTGAATTTGTGTCCCTGCCCAAATCTCATGTCTAATTGGAGGAGGGGCCTGGTGGGAGGTGATTGGGTCATGGGGGTGAATTTCCCCCTTGCTGTTCTCATGATAGTGAGTGAGTTCTCATGAGATCTGATGGTTTAAAAGTGTGTGGCACCTCCCCATTTCGCGCTCGCTCTCTCCTGCTCCGCCATAGTAAGATGTGCTTGCTTCCCCTTTGCCTTCTGCTGTGATTGTAACTTTCCTGAGGCCTCTTGGCCATGCTTCCTGTTAAGCCTGCAGAACTGTGAGTCAATTAAGCTTCTTTTCTTCATAAATTACCCAGTCTTAGGTAGTTATTTATAACAGTGTGAGAACAGACAAATACAGTTACCTAGTTAATTAATAATGAAGAATCATAACCCCAAAGCTAAATGTAGACAGAAATTTTTCTTTGGGGGTTTTAAATTTTTATTTATTTCCCTATTTATCTTATTATTATTATTATTATTATTTTGCAGCCTCCAACTCCTGGGCTAAAGTGATCCTCTTGCCTCAGCCTCCCAAGTAGTTGAGACTGCTGGTGTCAACCATCACACCTAAGTTCTTTGAAATAATTTTTTGGAGAGGCAGGATCTTGCTATGTTGCCAAGGCTGGTCTTGAACTTCTGGCCTCAAGTGATCCTCCCGCCTTAGCCTCCAAAATTCTGGGATTACAGGCATGTGCCACCATTGCATGTGCCACCATGCCCGGCCTAGAATTATTCTTTTGAACTAATTCAGTCATATATGTCTAATTCTGAAATTGCCTCACCCAGTAAAAAATACAATTTTAGATCTAAATTACTTTTTTGGACTACAGTACAAGATCCAAAATGGAAAATGAGCTTTAATTCTAAGGCACAGATGTTTTTGCAAAAATGTTAGCTTTATTTTCATTTTCTTAGATAGGTTTTTGATGAAATAGGATATATTTCTTCTGACATAAAACTCTAGGTATTTCTTTTTGTTCCCATGAAAGGGGAAAAAAAGAAAAGAAAAAAAAAAAACTCTAGGTAAAAATAGCTGAAAAGTTCATCAAGCCCACCATACTGAATATATACCTAAGAAATTCTAAGTATGGTTTGTTGGCGTTTGTTCTTCTAATATATCATTCTTTTGAAAGTAGAAAGTTAACTCAAGTGACTCTGAAAATTAACTTTTAGGAACATTAACTTAGAGGACAGTTGCAGCCTTTTCACCTGTTGCCATCGGAGATAGACTGTCTCCATTCATCCAAGTGTGAGTCTGATGCAGGGGGTGGGGACAATCAGGAAGGTCAAAAGGAACACAGCCAGGAATCAGAAAGTATGCACCCAAAGGCTGCTAAGTAACCAAGGGAGGTGTTAGGAAGCCCACACACTAAAGCTGGATGGAAGCAGTCTGTGGCAGGGATTATGCCTATTTTGTTTACCACTATGTCTCAAGCACCTGGAACAAGGTCTGACACATAGTTGGCTCTCAACCAATATTTAAGGAAGGGAGGGAGGGAGGCAGGGAGGTTGGCTTTAGGGTGTGAGGAAGGTATGTAAGGTATGCATTAAGTCTTTATGGAATTATTCAACTTCTAACTTTCAAATTTTAATGATTTGGATTATACGTATGATAGAAAGGTATCTTTTTGACAGCTGGTACTGACTGTAGTTCTCCCAACCAGAAATCCTAATTAACTTTCTCTTCTTTATAACCACTTTTAATTTCTTACGATCTGAAATAAAGGGCTTACAGCTCTGTGGTGTGGCTTTTACATAAATTTTCTGTTACGTTACATCAGGTTTTTTCACTCCTACCTCTTAGGTTACTGGGGTTTAAAATAGCCTTCAGGAAGACTCTATTATTTTTCCACTTTGGCCCCTCCCTGTGCCAAAAGCACGTTATGAAAAGTGAGTTCCTCAAATCAGAAGGTAAGACAGCAGCACTGGCTATGCTTTGCCCTTCCATTTTTTTTTTTTTTTTTTTTTTTAATCCCCAGGACAGTAACCTTCTGGGAAAATCCTACATATCAGAATTATTTACCAGGAGTATATACTTTGTTTTGTTTGAGTCCATGGATCTGCACTAGCTTCTCCGCCATAATAAACACAGGCCTCTGGATTAAGATAAATTTGTTGTTTCCCACCTCAAGTTTTTGTCTCATGAAAGTGAAAGTTCCAAATCCTGGAATCTGAACCCCCTGAAAGGAAAAAAAAAAAAAATCATTGAAGGAGTGAAGAAAAAATAATCTTTAATATTATTATCCAAAAAACATGAAGAGAAGTAAGCTTAGGCCTTAAAAATTCAGTGATCTCTAGGACTCTTCAGAGTGTTAGCATTTTATAATTCTAAGTTTTCAAATAAGCTGAGTATAAAATGTAATATATTGGTCCATGATGATTTACAGACATCAGATCGCTCATCTCTGTATCATCAAAAGGCTAAGAAAATTTGTGTGAATGTCATAGCATTTTTTAATCTTTAACCAAGATTACTCCTGTCCTAAATTGTGTGACATTTTAAATTTTAATCATCTGCCATTAGAGGAATTTAAGAGGGCATGAGAATCTCTGCTTTCTCGTTCCTACTTTTAGATTTTATGTCTGCCACTTAGACAACCCAGCATCCAAATCATATGCTGCAATGTAGTGATCCTGGCTGATGGGTAGAAGCAAATGTTTTTAGCTCTCATACTGGGTTTCTGTTTCCCTGGAGATATCATATATCAAGGACTGCAAACTCAAATGCCTATAGGAGCCAAAAAAGAAAGCAAGAGAGTGAAAGTAGCCAGCCAGGGAATGTGATGGCTATGGACTGCACACCCCATCTAAAGGGAAGAGCACATCTTGAGCTCCAAATGTGTCACCACGTAGTAATGGAAGACTAGAATCGTTAGATCTGCTGATTTTTCAATGAAAGGGAGGGGAAAAATCCAAAACATTATATAATTTCTCCCAAGTTTAAGTGCTGATAACAAATGCAAATTCTCAAGCCAAACAAAATAAATTTGAAGTATGAATTCTGCCCAAGGGCTCTCACAGTAGGACCTCTGAATGGGGTATAAAAGTTTCACAACTTCCCAGCTTCCCCCAAGCTCATCCCCAAATCTCCATGTAGTTATATGGCATCTAAAGCCAAGACTTAACAGGAGGGAACGGTCCAGCCCTGGGCAAAGTTTCTCATTTTGGCAAGTCTTCTATTTCAATTAAAATCCATTCCCTGCAAGGAGGCAAGACAAGAAGCGTTATATCTTTCTACAGCTATGCCAGGAACTATCAGATCACAGACAAACAGAACTCATCTAGTTTCCTTACACCACACCCAGGCTGATCAGCACTACACTCTGTAACACTAGAAGAGCAGAACTTACAAATTCATTACCTAAAAATAAAATTCATGTTTGTTACATCTATTACCCACAAGTCCGAAGCATGAGCATCATAAAATCACAGGACTGGAAGTTAAACGGGATGGCTCTAAAGTCTACTGCCCTGCTCCCAGCAACATTATACAAGACTATGGAGGAAAGATCCTTTAGATGCCTACATTAAAATTAATAAATAAATTTAATTTATTAATAAATTAATAAATCTTACCTTGTGCAGGGTTAACTGCCGTCCCACAAATTCTGATACATTCCCCCAGATAATAGAGACTTCTGAAATTCAAAAGTAACGAGAAATTATTTATATGACCACCCATGTGGTAGTATCTTAGTGCTAATAAATAAAAATGTAAATATGAAATGTGGAAGCATATGACACTAATTCCTGATTAATTTAGAATTAAGAAAAAACAAGGCTATTCCCAAAAGTTAATTTTCCTGGTAGCTAAGGCTTACTCCCTTAAGTTGGGAAGGTGTGATTTAAAATAATAATAATAATAAATTTTTAAAGAAAACTTTCTACAGCAAAGGGAACTCTGTCACACCCTTTTCTTTATTCTATAAAGAGAATTAATTAAGTATAACCCAGCCTTTTCTTAAAGACCCATTCAGCAACCGTTTATCGGGTGTCTACTCTGTGCCATCTGATTAATAAGAACGTTCATTCTCACACCATTCCATAACACAGGAATAAGGCAAAAGGCCACTACGGCATGAAAGGCTGTTTTGTGTACATTAACTTTTCCTACACTTCTATTTTTGCTAAATCCTCAAATTTGCTTTTTATTTTCATTTTTCACTGCTAAGCTACCAGCTGTCACTTGTGCTACTAATACTCTGTGGGCTCCTGGACCAGTCATAATTCATTGCTTCATATCTACTGTGTTCTGGAAATAACAAATACTAATAATATGTCTAAAATAATTTTATTTTTTTGAGACAGGGTATCACTGATGCCCCGGGTAGAGTGCAGTGGTGCGATCTCGGCTCACTGCAACCTCCGCCTCCCGGGTTCAAACGAGTCTCCTGCCTCAGCCTCCTGAGTAGCTGGGATTACAGGCGCCAGCCACCATGCCTTGCTAATTGTATTTTTAGTAGAGATGGGGTTTCGCCACGTCGGCCAGGCTGGTCTGCAACTCCTGACCTCAGGTGATCCACCTGCCTCGGCCTCCCGAAGTGCTGGGATTACAGGCATGAGCCACCATGCCCGGCCTAAAATAATAATTTTTAAAAACACACTTTTGAGTAGGACAAGGAGCTTTACTTTGAATTAATGCATACATTTTGCACTATCAATTTTGACTGATTGGAGGGAAGCCTTCCAAGTTTATCTTCTTGTTCTGAGCTGTGTCTCAAAAAACTGTGGTAGAAAAACAGGTAGTTGCCAATAACTAAAGTGTTAATGTATGATATGAACCTATACTGTAGGTATGACTAATATTTCAAAGCCTAGAAAATTATATCTGTATTAACATCACCCTTCCAAACCTAATCATGTGTTTATCAAAGATACTTTTCAATTAAGAACCCTTTGCAACTCAAGAGTGTTAAGTTTTAATTCTCAAAATAAAAAATCAAGAACAGTGACATTAACCAACTTGTCATTTGGGGACATAGATGCAGTTGGTGACAAAAGCCCAATCCTTTTTCTACTTTGGAAACTGCTTGTTTTATTGTTTTATTTGGTTTATCTTTTTTTCTAACAATTTAAACCACTAACTAAAGCACGGAGAGTGCAATCTTTTAATTCTGGTATATCAGAGTTATAAATATTTTTATTAACAGGCCAGGGAAGGGGCAGGTTTAATGGCTGAGAAGTAGCAATGACTTTTATGAATATCTGGGATCAAGTTTGGTGATGGAAATTCACCCATTAATAAAATTAGGACTGCAGGCTCCAATGAGCACGAGGGCCAAGATTCTGCCCCTCATTGATCACTTTCTATAATCAGGCATTTCCCCTACTCTACCCACCCTACCTTGTTCTCCACTCCTTCCCACCCCCACAGCCCACAGAATTTTACTACAGGCTGCTAAGAACTAATAACCAGTCCTAACTGTATACTGAATTACAATTTTCATCATGACCAAACATTTCATTAATTCTCGAATGCAAAATCTCAGTATCCAGATGTACATGGAGAACTTTCAAAGTTATTAAGTCAAAATTGTTAAATGTATGACTCTAAAAGTCTTTCACCTCTGAAAGCTCGTATGTTAGGAAAACAACTCTGAAGATGAAATGATTTCATTAGAGCCAGAAGAAAGTGTATAGTTTGCAACCAAACCCCAGTGAAAACACTCAGCTGAGTTTAATTGAAAATTTGAGGATTTTGTCTTTCTTCATTTGGATGATATATTCAAGCCCACTGTATTGTTTTATTCCATAAAGCCTAATAGACAACATTATATAAGAGCAGAACTAATTAGTCTAAACTAAAATTTGCTATTTCTCACTGAAGAGAAAGGAAACTATGCATATCATTTGCCTTAGGAAGTTTTGGCCCCTGCAATCCAATCGGAATAGACTTGGAAAGCTTACAGACTGTAATTTCTAAATTTGACTTTTTCTGACATCCCAAAGAGTCAGAGAGGATATCATTAAATCTCAAAATGAAAAATATCAAGTCTAAAAAGCAAATTGAAGGATATACTACTTTCATATTTTAAGGGAGGCCAGGGTTCTTACTTATTTCAGTCAAACACTGAAGTGCCAAGAATCACTCTTATAAAGAACTAATCCCTAGACATATACTCTATATTCAGTTCAACCTTCATTTGGCTTCAAATTCTTACCATTCCATGCACTCAAAACCATATGCTTAAACAGAGTGCCAAGTAACAGGAATACTGTATCTTGTATATGATCACTATAAAAAAAAAACAACTACATGCCTGTTCTGTAAATTATACAATACTATATGCTTGAATAAGACATTAATGTCAAAAAAAAAGAGATATGTTTCCTGATGTTATAAAACTTATCTTCTAAAATTAAAATACTGATATATGGAATAGTATAGCAGAATAGTAAAGGATGATTTGAACAAAGAACCATATTCCCAGAGCATAATGCAATGGAAAGAACAGTGTGCTGCGTGGAAGGCCCACAGCCTTCCTGCCTCCATGGACTCAAGTTTTACCCAGTTCACATCTGTAAAATGATGACAGGGCCTTCTAAGCACTATAATTACATAATATTAAACTTTGCTAAAAGATACAGAAGCAGCAGGAATATGCAATGATGAATATATACACTGATGAAAGTTAATTTCTGTGTTTTGCTGAGTTTTAAGTTTATCTTCATCCTTGTTGCAATAGATCATTTGTGAAAGTTAATAAACAGTAGTTTGACTTTGACTTCTGTTATTGTACCAGTAAAGCCCTTGCTGAAGTCACCAATGGTCTCTTTGTCAATACATTCAATAAACATATTTAATTCTGAGCCCTCAGCCATGTCTGACACTATTGATCACTCCCTCCCGCTTTAAGCACCTCTCCTTTTGGCTTTTATACTACTACTCTCATTTGGGTTTTCTCCTAACTGGCCATTTCTTCAGTCTCCCTTGCAGGCTTATCCTCCTCAACCCAACCATTAAATGGTAGGGTTTTCCAAGGTACATTCCTAGGCTGCTTCTCTTTTCACTCTATACTCTCTACTTCAGCAGTCACACCCACACTCAGGATGATTCCCAAATGTTTATTTACAGACCCACACTCCTTGCCACCCCCTCTTTGAGATTCTGGACCTTTATCCAACTGCCTACTTAGATATCACACAAAGGCCCTTCAACTTGCCCAAAAACACAATCTTTCTTCCCTTAAATCTTGTCTTTTATCCGGGATATCAATCTCAGTGAGTGGCACCACTATCTATTAATTTATATGAGCCAGGAACTCAGAAGTCATCCTTTAGACTTCTCTTATCCCTCACCCCTAACATCCAGTCCATCACCATAGTCTGTAGATTTTACCTCCAAGTTGCCCTTCATTCATTGCATTCCTCCCCATTTCTACTGTTACCGGTTTTAGACCAAGCTACCATTTGTTCCCACCAAGACTATTGCTATAGGTATTCTTGACCCTCCTATTTCTTCCCCACCTGGCAACTGGAGTGATCTTTTCCAAATATAAACTGATTGCATCATTCAACTTCTCCTTGACCTCCAGCTCAGAACACTTAATGGCTTCCCATCAGGCTTAACATAAAGGTCAACATCCTTAATATGACTTACAAGGCCCTGCATTACTTGACCCCTTCCTTTCTCTCTAGCCTACTTTAGAATACACTCCCTCCCCAAATCTACAGAGCAGCCAATCCACTGTCTTTCAGTTGCTCCATTACATCATACTCTCACCGTAAGTTTTTGCCCCTGTCATTCCCTTTGCCAAAATCATTTTCACCTCACTTCCACTCTCTACCTCTCTGATCCATTTCATCTACTTAATTCCAACTCATTCTTCACAACTCAGCTCAAATTATCCCTTCTTTAGTCATTCTTGGCACACACCTCCATCCTTACTCTCTATTAAAAGTTCTCATTTGACTTCCATTTCTTGGTGCTGTATGTAAGGAAGTCACCACTCCATCCTAAAAACTAAAAAGTTGACCGGACTGAAAAATCAACAACTCTTCTTGGATCCATAAGATGAGGGAGGACACAGGGCAGACTGCTGCCCCTAAAAATTGGAGAGACAGAAATGCAAATACCAGGAGGAACGGCTTCCTGAAACAGACACACATGCAGAAACAGCATCAAGAACCAATGCTGGGTAAGAAAATCCAAAGTGTAATTGACAAATTTCTGGAGGCTTAGTGTGGACAACACCAAGAGTTAAAACCTCCAGGGGAACCCAGTCATGGAGGGAGGGTTCCCACATAGGGGAAGGTTTACTTCCCAGAGCTCAACCAGATTCCCACAGCTAAATATCCAGGTAAATATGAGAGAAAAATCTCCTTGTGCTTCTGGTGGGGGGAAGAAAAAAATACCATTTTTAAATATGCCAGAGCACTCTGTTGTTCTTAATGACCTGCCCTCAGAAGAAACTAGTTCACCAGAGCCTAACCTGCTGGGATATTATCCGAGCCTGACTGACCTGGGAGAAAGGAAATGACCAACTCCAGTCCAATTTAGCCATTCTGTCCCACCTAAGGAGAAAGGAAAAATCTGAGAAACATTTGTAAAGTTCACAGTCCAGAGGCACAGCTCACTAAAAGACTGAGACCTGATCATAGGACTATAGACTGCTTTCCCACCCCCGCACACTCTACC